AGACCCTTTTCAGCTGGCATCCGTGTGGAGGGTGAAGCCATGGAATCAAGTGCCAGTGTTTCTGCCCAGAGCAGAGCCGCAGACCCCACGGGCCACCATGCCCACACCTGCTTTCCTCCAAGTGTGGAATGTTTCGGATTTAGTCTGGTTTTGTGTTGCAGACTAATTCACAATTTGAGGCCTTTTTCTTGAAAACTTTTAAGTAAATTTTTTTTTTTTTTTTTTGGAGAGTCTCAATGTCTCCCAGGCTGGAGTGCAGTGGTGCAATCTCGGCTCACTGCAACTTCTGCCTCCTGGGTTCATGCGATTCTCCTGCCTCAGCCTCCTGAGTAGCTGGGATTACACCACCACACCCGGCTAATACTTGTTTTTTTTTTTTTTTTTTTTTTTTGAGACGGAGTTTCGCTCTTGGTTACCCAGGCTGGAGTGCAGTGGCCAATGGCACGATCTCGGCTCACCGCAACCTCCACCTCCTGGGTTCAGGCAATTCTCCTGCCTCAGCCTCCTAGTAGCTGGGATTACAGGCACGTGCCACCATGCCCAGCTAATTTTTTTTGTCTTTTAGTAGAGACGGGGTTTCACCATGTTGACCAGGATGGTCTCGATCTCTTGACCTCGTGATCCACCCGCCTCGGCCTCCCAAAGTGCTGAGATTACAGGCTTGAGCCACTGCGCCCGGCCAATACTTGTATTTTTAGTAGAGAAGGGGTTTCACTGTGTTGGCCAGGCTGGTCCCGAACTCCTGACCTCAGGTGATCCGCCTGCCTCGGCCTCCCACCGTTCTGGGATTACAGGCATGAGCACCACGCCAACCAGCCCACCATTTTTATCTCAAAGTATAGTAGCCCTCAGTCGGATTAGAGAGCATGTGGTGATGCCGGACCATTTGCAGAAGCCATCTTGCCTTCTTGTTGGGCTTGCTCTTCAGGCTGACGGAAAGCACTCAGGAAGGAGACGCGTCGGATGGCCCTGCCCTGCAGCTCGGCCTCGGAGCGTGGGGCATAGCTCAGGCACCAAGACCCTGTCACGGGGGTGCTGTGAATCACCCTGGACCATTTGTCAGGAGACTCCAGCATCGAAGGGGGTCCCAGGCAGGGTCCTGCTCCCTGGCCTCTGACCTCACTGGCAGCACCTCTTGGTCCCTGTGGAGGAGGCAGCGCAGGGACCATCACAGAAGCTGCAGAGCCCCGCTTCGGGAAATGACAGTCTTCGGGGAGCTGTTTCCTTTAGGGCTGCTTGAAGTGATCACGGGTCCAGGCGCAGCCGGCGCCCTCCAGCGCATCTGCTACTGCACGGGGGTGGCAGAGTGCTGGGTCAGGATGCTGCTCGGCCCTGCACCTGGGGGTCCCCACTTGGGGATGAGTTTGGGGCTGACCGCTGTGCTTTGCCACCTGGTGGACAAGAGCTGAGTCACTGGGCTGTGCCCACATGGGGCCATTGTTGAGAAAGGTGGTGGGTGCCGCTGCACGTGTGGGGTGAGCCCAGGCCGAGGGCCCCACTACGCCCCCCTCAGGGCAATGGGACATTTGCATAAGGATGGGCAGAATCTTCAGGATGTCCCTGGACACGGGTGCTGCGTCCCACATGGAGTCGGGCTGAGACAGGCTGTGGCGTTGGCGTCTGTCCACGGGTGCCCTGGCTGAGAAGGGCAGTCTGGTGAGAGGATGGGAGCTGGAGAAGCTGCTCCCAGCTCCGCTGCTGTCGGGTGCCCTGTCCCTGACTAGTGGGGATGGGTGCTAGGAAAGCTGAGGTAGCGTTTTGGTGCAGCTGGCACCTAGACAGAATTTGATTGCAGGTGAAATTTCCTTTGTACTTTTCAATTCGTTTTTTTGCTGATTTTAGCCCAACAGAAGCACCTTGGGTGTTAGTTGTGATCTGGGGAGAACCTGCCCGGCACGGCTGCTTAGGGGCTCGCCCCGCTGCCGTTCCCTGTGCGGCCTCTGGGTCCTCCCGTGCCCAGCAGACTGGAGAGCTGTGGCCAGGCATGGAGTGTCTTCCCTGGGGGTCTCATCTTTCTAGCTTTCAATGCTGCGTTTCATTCCTGCGAATGGTGCTGTTTATACTTCCTGCAGTGTCTGGAAGGCACGTGCGGCTGCTCTGCGCGGACGCAGTCTCGTTTCTGACTGCAGTGAGCAGGTGTGTGTCCACATCCGTGAGCGCTTTAGGCTTTGCCTGGCGTGTGGACATTTGACCCACATGGAAGGTCCTGGTGCCGCTGGCCTAGGGAAGCAGCCAGGCCTGCTCTGCCCCGCAGGGATTGGTGAGGGTGCAGGCAGGTGGGGGGTGCTGGCAGGATGGAGCTGTCTTGGGGGTGGTAGTGGGGCAGATGTGAGCGGTTCAGCTTAAGAGAAGGCCCCAGGCAGCGAGATGCCCCCAGGGGTCTGTATACCTCCCAGGCCCACCAGCGAGGGGCGGGCACGTAGTGGGTGACGGCTCCGTGGAGTGACTCGGGTGTGCAGCCTTCCCGATGATGGAATCGCGAGGCCTCCGGCCAGTGCTGGCCTGTGGTGCTGCTTCCGGCCCTCCCGTCACCGTCCCTGGCCGCGGCAGGCTTGTCCTCCCTGGTGTGATGCTCTGCTAAACCTCTCCCCTCCCTCCGTCTTCCTTCCATGACGGAACGGTGCCAAGGCTCTGCCTTGTGCTGACCTGACTCCCTGGGCCCAGGACCATCCCTGGCAGGCATGCGACTGGAGCCAGCAGCCTGCGGCCCAGAGCCCTGCGGGGTGTGGGGAGAGGCACGGACAGCATTTCGGGGCCCAGGCAGCGATTCTCTGAGCACTGGCAAAGGGCCTGTGGTGTCCACCGGTGTCTGGGAGTCACTCTGGGATCAAAAGCATTAGGCTTCACCGAGAAAATCAGTTAGGGTTAAACCGATGTCAGCTGAAAGTGGCCTTGAATTAGAACCGAACACTTGCGCCTCCACGCTAAAGAAGAGAGCTGACGTTCAGAATAACGTGATGTGAAGAGTCCTGAAGAGTGGCCCCTGCCGGGCTGCCTGCAGGTTGGGTGGCGTGTCCACTTGTCTTGGATGCGATGGGTTTTTTTTGTTTGTTTGTTTGTTTTGTTTTGTTTTTTTAAGCCCGAGTTTTGCTCTTGTTTCCCAGGCTGGAGTGCTGTGGTGTGATCTCAGCTCACCGCAACCTCTGCCCCCCGAGTTTAAGAGATTCTCCTACCTCAGCCTCCTGAGTAGCTGAGATTACAGGCCTGCGCCACCACACCAAGCTAATTTTGCATTTTTAGTAGAGACGGGGTTCTCCCATGTTGGTTAAGCTGGTCTTGAACCCCCAGCCACAGGTGGTCCGCTCACCTCGGCCTCCCACAGCGCTGGGATTACAGGTGTGAGCCACTGCGCCCAGCTGCAGCCTTCTTTTTGAGTTAGGGTCTTACTCTGTTGCCCAGGCTGCCATGCAGTGCTGCCATCTCTGCTCACTGTAATCTCAACCTCTTAGGCACAAGCGACTTTCCCATCTCAGCCTCCCTGTTAGCTGGTGTTACAGGCTTATGGCACCACACTAGCTAATTATTTACTTATTTATTTTCTGAGATGGAGTCTGACTCTGTCACCCAGGCTGGAGTGCAGTGGTGTGGTCTTTGCTCACTGCAATCTCTGCCTCCTGGGTTCCAGCGATTCTCCCGCCTTGGCCTCCTGAGTATCTGGGACTACAGGTGCACCACCACGCCTGGCTAATTTTTGCATTTTGGTAGAGACGGGGGGTTTAGCCATGTTGGCCAGGCTGGTCTCGATCTCCTGACCTCAGGTGACCCGCCCACCTGGTGAGCCACCGCCCGGCCGTGAGCTCTTCTTTCTGCAGGACTTTGATTCTGAGCAGCTGATGGACTAAGCTCCTCAAAGATGACGTGGGTGTCGTAGCTACTTCCAGGGGCCTCAGGGACACAAGTGGGATCCCGCGTGTGTGGGAAGAGGCACATCGGAGGGGGTAGGTGACTTAGATGCTGCTGTCACAGGAACCAAGGATGCCTGGCAGCTCAGGGTCAGATGTCTTTTCAAGTTAAACCTTAGATCAACCACTCAATGTATTACGAAAGTGATTTTTGCTACCCAGGAAGGTATATTTTAGGTAATCTGAGCCTATTTAAATAAATTGACAGAACTGAAAGTTGAATGTGCCACTCAGAATTCCTGAGTCAGCCAGGCTGTTTCTCTGAGGTAGAATTAAGCAGTTACATGTCCCCGACCAGCTGGAGTGACTCAAATGAGCTCCCGCAGACCAGGGAGCTCATGTGGGGATTCAGTCTCTATCTCTCTTTGGGGACGTGAGCCCCTTCCTGGGGAACCCCTGAGGCCAGGCGTGGCCACTGTGAATGTGGGGAGGGTACCTCCTGCCCAGGACCCTAGTGGCCCCTTCCTGCAACCGCTGGGGCCTGAGTCAGCGCCCACCCCAGCGCCTCCTTTCAGGTGGGCCGGACGCATTCAGGCATCCTCTGTGCTCCGCTGTCGATCGTCCATGGGGCTGTCTGTGCTCAGCGGTCTGGCCCTGCTGGCTTTTGTGGCAGCGTTTTTCAGCCTGGTGCCGCTGACGTTGCCTTTGGGTCTTCCGGTGTTCTTGACTGTTGGAGCTGAGCTGGACTTGGGATTGGCTTTCAGGTTGGCTTTGTCTCTGCTGAAGGACTCAGGTTTGACGGCAAGCAGGCACCGCACGGGAGCAGAGGGAGGGTGCGGCTGTGGAGACCGCGCCTGAGGCCGGGGCAGACGGAGAGGTCCAGGCAGAAGGTGTCATGCTGGCAGGGTCCTGCAGGCCTTGGGTCTTCTCGCAGAGTTGGGGCTCGGTGGGGAGCAGGCGCCTCCCATCCCCCACTTTGTTTTCTGTGGGACCTGCGGGACTCTGCGGACCAGGGCCCACCCCTGACAGCTGTCCAGGCCTGCGTCCCCAGTGCCCCTGCTGTGGAACCGGGAAGGGGCCAGGTGCCCAGGACACAGGCACTTCCAGGCTTCATACACGGTGATTTTTCTCTTGACGTTCCTTAACTTCCATGTGTAGCTATACGCAAAATGGCATTTTGCACATGCTGGACAGAAATAAGAGAATCAAGCCCCGGCCGGAAAGGTTCCAGAACTGCAAAGACCTGTTTGATCTGATCCTCACTTGTGAAGAGAGAGTGTACGACCAGGTAGTGGAAGGTGAGGAGGCCAGCCCTGCGGCTCACACGGGTCCGGGACGCCTGCACGTCCCACGCTGGCTGGCACGTCCCGTCTGGAGTGTGGGTCAGGCTGGAGTGCAGGCACGCGCAAGGCAGGCCCGGCCGCAGGTTGCGGGCTTTCTGCTTGTGAGGCCTGTCGGAGCGGAACCATTGTGTGCTGGTTGCAGCCTCTCATGGGCTCCAGGGGTCTGGTTCTTGTTTGTTTTTGTTTTTTTGAGACAGAGTTTATCTCTGTCGCCCAGGCTGGAGTGCAGTGGTACAGTCTCGGCTCACTCCAACCTCTGCCTCAGAGGTTGAAGCGATTGTCCTGCCTCAGCCTCCTGAGTAGCTGAGATTATAGACACCTGCCACCACACTTTGCTAATTTATTGTAGTCTTGGTAGAGATGGGGTTTCACCGTATTGGCCAGGCTGGTCTTGAAGTCCTGACCTCAGGTGATCCACCCACCTTGGCCTCCCAAGGTGCTGGGATCATGGGCATGAGCCACTAAGCCAAGCCCCAGGTCCACATTCACGAGTGACCCTGTGCGGAGCTGGGCCTATGGTCAGCGAGGGCGGGGAAGCACAGGCCAACTTGTGCTGAGGTTTGAGGCTCAGTCCTCACCCGGCTCCCAAACCACAGAGTCCAGAAACCGCCAGGGCTGGGCCAGGGGCTGGCAGAGCTGGGGACTGGGACACAGTGACTGCCTGTTCCCTGGTTCTGGAGCCTCTGACTTCTGTGTCACCTTGTCTCAATCAGATCTGAATTCCAGAGAACAGGAGACCTGCCAGCCAGTGCACGTGGTCAACGTGGACATCCAGGACAACCATGAGGAGGCCACCCTGGGAGCATTTCTCATCTGTGAGCTCTGCCAGTGTGTGAGTACCGGGCGTGGCACCGCGCTGGGCGGAGGCTGTGCTGGGACAGTGAGGCCTGAGGCTGGCCCTGCCATTGGGGCGGGGTATCCAGCTCAGCTGACCTGTGTTGGGGTGCCTGCTGGCGGCTGAGAGAGAGCTGCCCCCGGCTTTGGAGTAGGAGCGCCCCCCTTGCCCTCTGCTCAGCTGACAGACGCAGTGCAGTGACCTGCCCAACACAAGCTTGGGCCCTCTCCCGGGATATGGGGCTCCAGGGAGGGCCTGGCACCGCCTCTTCCCGGGGGGGGACACAGCCGCACCTCAGCCAGCAGGGCACGTGGCGCTCCTGGGTGTTGTTCGGGCGGAGGTGTGCCCCACGTGAGCCTGGAGGCCGCCAAGGGCTGTGTGTTCGCAGTCCACCCCTGGACTCAGCCTTTCGCATGCCTGTTTTCCCCAAGGCACCCTGTGTTCCCCCTGCACTGAGGGGCCAGGGGGCACCCCAAGGGCTTCTGCAGCCCTGCTGCTGCCTTGCTGAGGTGCTGGGGTATGATGGGAGGGCCCCACGCACCGACCCGCCTCTGCCTCTGGGATCTGTGATTGGGATCAACTGTCAAAGACGGAAAAGGCAAACAGCCTGATCGAGAGAGGTCTCGGTGCAGGGGGAGGCCCCCAGCCAGGCCACCTGCGCTGGGAGAGGCTGCTGCATGGCCGTAGACTCCTGCCTGCCCACCCAGCACAGTTTCTGGTCCCCACATCCTCACGGTCCAGTGTGGCTGGAGCGCCAAGGATGGGGCTGGTGACCGCCTGGTAGGAGGGTAGGCCACTGGGAAAGTCTCATCCCAGAAGTGGCTGCTTGATTCCCGCTCGGGTCACGTTGGCCAGAGCTGAGTCACAGGCAGGCCACTCCTCGCTTAGAGGCACTGTGTGCTGCCCAAGGTTGGGGACCAGGGGACATTGGCAATGGCGAATGACACGAAGCCGGGGCCGAGGCCCGTGTGCTCAGGAGCCCGAGCTGCTCACTCCAGGCAGCAGGCCTCCGCCAGGGCCTCTGGCAGGTGGAGAGCAGGATGCTGCCCCCACCGCAGGGCACGGGTCGGGGTCCTTGCTTGCTGGCATTTGGGAAGCGCTGCTGTGAGGCTGGCCAGCCATGCTGTACATGAGTGTGCCTGGGCCCCGGGCCTCCCAGTCTGCTCTCCGAATCCAGCTCCCCACTCCCAGCTTCCGTCTCCGTGGGGGCCAGTGGGGAGGTGGGGTCTGGAGCTTCCCAGGAACCTCTGCCCTTGCAGCCTCCAGCCTTTCTTGTGAGGCAGCAGCAGTGGTGAAGGTGGGGGCCTGACCCAGGCGGGGGTTTCCTTGTTGGGAGCAGAGGGGCGGGGCGGGCGAGGCCCTGACGGCGGTCCCGTCCTTGCAGATCCAACACACCGAGGACATGGAGAACGAGATTGACGAGCTGCTGCAGGAGTTCGAGGAGAAGAGCGGCCGCACCTTCCTGCACACCGTCTGCTTCTACTGAGCCCGGGCCCGGCCGCCCGCTCCAGCTTCCTTTTGTTCATACTTTTTCCTTCCTGACGTTTGTTTTTACTTACAGGTGTTCTGCTGGTGACGGTAGCATTACCCAAATAAACCGTGCATATGACACGGGAGGAGATGTCTAAATGCCACATTAAAGCAATCAAGTTTTTTCCTTCCCACTTTTACTTACAAACGGGATATTGATTATAGTTTTTTCCTTTAACCGAAAAGACAAGACAGCGGTTGGTTTTGTGTTCACTCCCCCGCCCCAGTGTCCCCGTGCGCTTGCTCCCTCCTCCCTTCCCACCAACGAGGTGTTCGATGACCTGGAATTGTCCAATAAATAGATGCTGCTGTCACCTGTGCTTGGTCGTGAATTCCTGGCCCGACCCTGGCCCTCCCCACGCTGGGGTGTGTAGCTCAGACCGGGGGTGCTGCTGGAGCCTGGGCCGACTCCGCCCTGTGCTGCCTGGAGCAGAAGCCGGCTGCACCCACCAGCACTGCTGCCTGTGGGGGAGCCATGTGGAAACTCGCCCTCCCCAACCCCCCGCCGCGGTCGGCTGTCCCCCAGGCCACCCGCCGGAGAGGCTGAGCCGGGAGTCAGAGCTGCAGTGAGCCTGGATAGCACTGCTTCCCCCTAATTTCCTGCTGGAAGGTGGCGGGGGCTCCTGTATCTGAGACGTGGTCACTCGTTCTGGATGAGAGTTTGGTCCCACAGCAGAGTGGTGGCCACCTGGGCCTCTGAGTGGCAGGTGACTCCCCTGTCCCCTCCATAAGTGAGCCTGTGCAGGGCGGCCATGCCCACACCTGCGCCACCTCCCTCCCTCGAGGATTCCAGGGGTCACCCCTTCCCTTCCCTGTGGCCGCCCCCCGCCCCATGGTTCCATGCACCCTGGAGGCACGTGCAGCCCCGCACCTGGCCGCCCGGGGAGACGAGGGCTGAGGGCGGAGCAGGGGGGCGGAACGGGTCTCGGCGCCCCTCGGGCCAGATCGGGTTGGGACTGGCGTCCTGGGACCCTGGGCAGGCGACGGGGGCTGGCTCTGACCAGACTGAGGCGGGACAAGAAGTGGAGGTTCCCGGGGGGGGGTCTCGGCCGGCGTCCTGGGGGCGGCGCCCCCCTCCCGGCGCCGGCGCTGGCACGGAGCGGCCCGCGGGCGGCGCGGTCCCTCCCGGGAGGCGGAGGAAGGCGGCGGGAGGGAGGAGGGAGGAGGAGGCAGGGAGGGGGCCGGAGCCGAGCGGAGCCGAGCCGAGCCGAGCGCAGCGGAGCGCAGGGAGGACCCGAGGGCGGAGCGGAGCGCGGCGGGCCGGGCCGAGCGACCCCCGAGAGGCCCCACGTCCCTCCGCGGCCCCCCCGTGCCTCCTCCCCCCGGTCGGCGCCGGGGTTGCCGCGACAGGCGGCGGCCGATCCTGGGAAGCGCTGACCTCTGCGGAGGCGGCGGGGGCTCAGCATCGGGCCGGGGCCGGGGGGGCGCCGGGGCCGGGGGGCGGCGCTCCGGCCCGGCCCGGCCCCGCCCGATGTCCATGAGCGCGAACACCATGATCTTCATGATTCTGGGGGCGTCGGTCGTGATGGTGAGCGGAGGGGCTTCCCGCGCGCGCCCCCTGCTCCCCGCCCGCGCGCGCCGCCTGCCCCCACCTCCCGCTCCCTGTTTACCGCCCGTGCGGCCTGCGCTCCCCTCCCTCCCCGGCCTGCGCTCCCCCCTCCCCGGCCTGCGCTCCCCCATCCCCGGCCTGCGTTCCCCGCTCCCCGGCCTGCGCTCCCCCAACCCCGGCCTGCGCTCTCCTCCCCAGCCTGCGATCCCCACAACCCCTGCGCTCCCCCTATTAAGGCCTACGCTCCCCCAACTCCGGCCTGCGCTGCCCCCACCTGCCCTGCGCTCCCCACCCCCAGCCCGCGTTCGTCCCGCCCGCTCCCTGGCGCTGACCGGTCATGGGCTCTTCCAGGCCATCGCGTGCTTGATGGACATGAACGCGCTGCTGGACCGATTCCACAACTACATCCTCCCGCACTTGCGGGGCGAGGACCGCGTCTGCCACTGCAACTGTGGCCGGTGAGTCCGCAACCGATGCCGGCTCGATACGCGTGAGCGCACATGTGCGGCGGGGCCCACTCGGGGCGCAGGGGAGCCAGCCCCACGCGGGCCGCGAGCCGCCTTCCACCCTGAGGGCTGCCAGGTGCGCAAGGGGAGGAGCTGTCTCGCCGGGGTCTCCTGGGGGCGCATGGCTTTAGGACACTATCCTGGAATGCCTTTAGAGGCCTCCATGGTGGTGATGGAATGGGTCACGGGGCCTCCTGGTCCAGCCTGCAGGCCGGGAAGCCACAGCCCAGTCTGGTGTCCACAGTGGAGACCCAAGCCAGCCTCGTCAAAGCTGGGGCAGGAGGCGCCTGCTGGCACAGGGCTGGGCCCTGCAGTGAGGCCCAGGGCAGGAGAATGGGGTCACGGCGGGAGGGAGGGGCCTGCCTGGAGGGGCACGGGGCTGAAGCCCTTGGCTGGTCAGGAGGAGCTGAGGGGTGGGCTGGGGGTGATCAGTGGGGAGGCGGGACTTCCTGAAGGTCACTCAGATTGAGGGGAGCGCCCAGACCCCCCACACCCACCGTGTGAACCCCTGTGCACGTGTAGTGATGGAATCTTCCTGGCCATGCATGTCTGTATGTCCATGTACGAAATAAACATCTTCTCATGAGACGCGCATGTGTGTAGCGTCTGTGCATATACATGTGCGTACACACAGCGCCCGCGCACGCATGCACTCCCTCAGGACGCCCTCACTCAGTGGCCGCTGTTAACCCTGCTAGACCAGGAAGTGAACGGAGGCCGTAGAGGACACAGCTGCCCAAGGTCACACAGCTAGTGAAGGACAAACCCGTGTTCTTCATCTCTGCCGCCTCCTGCTCTGGGGTCTCTGTGCATACGTGTGGGTGCAGGGTATGTGTGTTCAGGACAGCTGCATGTCTTGCTAAGCGTGTTACCTGCCTGTGAGTGGAGCCGGCGTGTGGATGAAGAACACGGGTGTTAAGAGAAGGTAGAGATCGAGGCGTTTGTGACCCTCGTGTGTGCTGGGCACAGGGTGTGGAGTAAGAGCTTGCGGGGTGGCCGCGTGCTCCTGTCCGGCAGGTCCGACCGCTAAGCCAAGGCCTGAGGTCCGCTCCAGGCCTCTTCCCAGAGGCTGGGCTCAGACCCTGGCTCCGGAGCATCAGAAGGGTGCAGCCCTCGTGGGCGTGGGCCGTGGCAGTGCAGTGAGGGCGTGGCAGGGCAGGTGGAGGGCACGCTGAGTGTTGCACAGGGGGTGTAGGTGCATCTCACGGAGCAGCACCCAGACTATGCGTGGACTCAGAGTGCGCTGAAGGCGGCGTGTGTGGGAAACGGCCACAGCCTGCTGTAGATGGTATTGCCGCGTGTGTCTGTGTATCTGTGCTCTGTTCACTTCTCCACATACAGGGTATGTACATTCTGCGTACAAAATGCTCTTGTATATTGGCAACATATATGTGTATGCAACATACATGTATGTCACAATATACAGTGCCGTGTGCTCAGGGACATGTCAGAACGTCTCCGTGTGGGGGCGCCGTGTGTGCAGACAAGTTTTGCACATGGGCATCTGCGTATACGCCATGTCCGTGCTCTGCCGTCAGAGGCTCCGTGTGTGCACGCTGCTGTGCAGAGCGAGTGTGTGTCCACGCACAGGCCTCGTATGTGCCCGTACGTAGACTTCGGCGTGTTGCCAGGCAGCGTCCAAATGTGGCCTAAGTCCACGCACGTGGTGTGGCGGCCCTGGAGAGGGTGTCTGCTCGCAACGCCAAGCAAACTGCCCCCATGTGTGGCGCCCGCTGTGCGGCGTGGGCTGTGGAGCACCCGGCCCATGTCTGCAGTATCACACCCTGTCCCTGCATGTGGCGGTGTGCATACTCGACATGATTGGCCCTCGGTGGACACGCAGCATGTGCGGCTCAGGAAGGACACATGTATGTACATGTCACTGACATACGTGTGCAGACAGCACATCTCTGCCGAGGCCTGGCTCATTCTGCTTTCACTGGGGAGACCTGAGCCCCCCAGGAGGAGGGCCAGGTGCAGGGTCAGGGGAGCTGCAGGAACCCAGGCCAGCCATGGGGGCACAGGCTGTGACCTCTGACCCTCGAAGTTCCTGAGCCCCTAGGGTGGCTGGGGACTCACCAAGGGGTCAGGAAGCACTTCCTCCCCTGAGGGCCTCTGGCAGCTGCACATTCATCGCTGGCGATGGACGATGGCTGTGGACAGGCTCGTCACCAGGTGATTGGTGGCCACCAGCGATCAGCCACGGTCACTCCTCACCAGGAGCCCTGCTTGGTGGGTGTGGTCTGTGTTCCCGTTATGCTGAGGGGTCTGACCTCCGGGGTCCCCAGAAGAGCAGGAGGGCTCCAAGGAGAGCCTGGGGCAGGGCCACCTCCTCCCTGCGCCTGGGCTCCCGCTCCAAGAACCCCACATCCCGCTGTGGGAAGCCGCCTGTGTGGCCCCCGCGGGGTGCAGGTGGCCTGGGTTGGACATACAGGCTGGGCTTTCAGTGTGGGAAGTGCCCTTGGGTGGGTGTGGAGCGTGGGGTGGTCTCAGGGTCTCGGCTGAAAAGCAGGCCAACGCTGATACCTCACCGAGGGGAAGGTGGGGGAGCAGGTTTGGGGAGAGAGGAGCTATTTTTATGCCCAAGTTGAAGGTGTCTGTGGATCCCACGTGGAGACACAAGCAGCTGGAGCTCAGCAGACGTGGGAGGCAGCCAGGAGGGTGGATCCCAAGGCGTCCTGGGCGCCTGGGGCCTGTGGCCTCTTCCCATTGGCCTAGGGATCCCGGAGTCAGCTGTCTTGGGTGCAGGTCAGTTGGCAGAGCCAACCCACCCAAGATCTTGGGGCCCAGAGGCCTTCCTGGGACGGGGCGGGCCGCCGGAGTGAGCCCCATGGGGAACTTCAGTGTTGCCCCAGCAGTGAGAGGAGGCCTGAGGCTGTGGTGGCCTGAGCCTGGGCAGTCCCCCAGGAGCCCAGGGAGGGGAGGTCAAGGGACACGGAGGTGCCTGGGCCTTGAGGACTACAGGGCCCTGGAGCCTGGACGCCCTCTGTCCTGGGAGCAGCGGGGCAGGTCTCTGCCAGGCACAGGCAAGGGGGCATCCCCCAGGAAAGGAAGAGGGGCAGAGTCCCCGTGGCCTCTGACCGCACCTCCCAGGGATAGAGGAGCAGAAGGAATCCGAGAGGCAGGGGCACCGGTCCTCAGGGCGGCCGCCGTGGAGAAAGGGGCCCCGCAGGCCGGTAAGGGTGCACGGGAGGGGCCAGCGGTCACCCGCAGTCCAGCAGCCCCGAGCTGAGTGGGTGAGCTGTGACCCTGGCCGTGGACCACCGTCCTGAGCCCCTCCCGAGAGGCCTCTTCCACCCGCAGAACCTCCCCTCCACCTCCAGGCCTAAGGGAGGAGGTGCCGGGTGAGGGCAGACACCTGCCGGCTGCTGGTCCCACCGTCTGCCTGGACTCCACGCTCGGCCTGCACAGCCCACGGCCACAGAACTCCCACTGCCACAGCCTGTGGCCTGGGCCTGGTTGGGTCCGTTGCCCCCTCCTGACCAGTCCGCCCAGGAGGCTGCTTCAGAGAACCCCCTGGGCGGCCCTAAGTGGTCACACCCCCACCATGGACGGGGTAGGCCCCTGGGGTAAGGCCAGGCCGGGGGCGGCGGGAGAGGTGCCAGCCCGCCCTGCCGCCCCCAGGAACCACATCCACTACGTGATCCCGTACGACGGGGACCAGTCGGTGGTGGACGCCTCGGAGAACTACTTTGTGACGGACAATGTGACCAAGCAGGAGATCGACCTGATGCTGGGGCTGCTCCTGGGCTTCTGCATCAGCTGGTTCCTGGTGTGGATGGACGGCGTCCTGCACTGCGCCGTGCGCGCCTGGAGGGCCGGCCGGCGCTACGGTGAGTGCCTCGCGCCCGGCACCCCGCGCCCACCATCCCGGCCGGCCTGGCAGCCTGACCGCCCCTGTCCCCCTGCAGATGGCTCATGGACCTGGCTGCCCAAGCTGTGCAGCCTGCGGGAGCTGGGCCGGCGGCCGCACAGGCCCTTCGAGGAGGCCGCGGGGAACATGGTGCACGTGAAGCAGAAACTCTACCACAACGGGCACCCCAGCCCGCGGCACCTGTGAGCCGCGAGGGGACTTGCCGGGGCTACCGAGCCACTGGCTGCTGTACAGATGTAAAAGGGACCTCGTGGACACCCGGGCCGGCGGGACTGGACAGCAGCCCTGGGCCCGGGGTATCCGGGGCTGTGGCCGGCCGGGAGAGTCCAGTGGAAGGTGCTGTCTCCTCTTCTTTTTATAAAGGGGGTTGGGGTGGGGGCTGGGGTGAGGGCGACTGCAGGGCCTCAGGGGGCTGGACCCTGGGCCCCTGGCTGGGCAGGGCACGAGGGCCCCAGAGGTGCTGGGGGACAGGGATGGTCCTGGGGGGCAGGTGGGGACAGCCAGGTGCACGGCCTGGGGCAGCATCTGTTTGAAGCCGCTGTTTCCCGTGCTCTGCGTCCACCATCTGTCTGGACCAAGCCAGCCCGGCAGAGGGGAGGGAGGCGAGGGGCGTCCGTGTGTGCACGGCTGCAGGGTGGGACACAGGCCCCTGGCCCCGCTGTGTCAGGCACCTCATGTGAAGCCCACCCCTCTGTGGTCAGTAAATTCTCCAGAAAGCTCCAGCCTCCGCCTCTTCTATCACCTTTGACCCCAGGGGGACTCTTGGCGGCCCTAAAACCCCGTCCCGTGTCAGCAGACAGACAGACACAGTGGTGAGGCACCTGTGGGACTTTATTAGATTAACAGACCCCCGCTCCAGCCACAGGTGTGCACCGGCCAGCTGGGTGTGGCCTCAGACACCCCTGCCAGTCTCCCTGCCTCCCAGCCATGGCCTGGAGTTTTTCAGGGCCACATGTGTGTGCAGGGTTGGGGTGCGGGGCTGACACCTGGCTCTGCTGTGGGAGCTGAGAACAAAGACCCCACTCAACCCATTCCTGCTGGCCCCTGGGACTCTGCCCAGCACCTACCCTCCCAGTGGCCTCTGCAGGGGCTCGGGTGCAAAGCCTCCCCCTCCCAATCTGAGCCAGACAGAAAATGCATCTCAAAGTGTCTTGGGGGACAGGAAGGAGACCTGCCCCTCCCCAGCCAATGCCCACAACAAGGGGCGTCCTGGCGGAATGGCTGACCCCCACAAGATGTCCTGGTGCACAGAGGCCCTGCATGCAGCCCTGGCCCCCCCAGGAGCACTTCCTCAAGGCACAGGGGCTGGAGAGGCAGGAGTGGGAGGGGTCCGCTGCCAGGCTCCGTGAGGTGTGGGTCACTGTGGCCTCAGGATGGAGGGCGCTCAGCCCCCGGCCCAGGCCCCTCTGCCTTCAGCCACGACATCTTCTGCTGGTGCTGCTGGACAGCGTCCTGCACGCGGGCGTCCATCATGGCCTCAGTGAGGACCCCATCCTCAGAGGCATATGCCATGGCCTGCAGGGAGAGAGGGAGCTGAGGGAGGCCGCCACAGGAACCCCCGACCCCAACGCACACCAGGGCCCAGAGGTGGGGAGGGGCCAAACCAGGGGCACCAGCAGGGCCTCAGTGTGAAAGCCAGGCATCCCGCACCACAGCAGAGTCCAGCATGGCGTGGGCACCTGGAGCAGCCCCGCAGTGCCCACAGCCCTGCTGTTTCCCAATGACTTTCTAAAAATAGGAAGTCCAAGGCCGAGCCCCGCCAACTGCCACGCAGGGCAGCTCCCGAGAGGTGGGGTGGGAAACACAGACCCACTGAGTCTGAGCTGTGGCCAGGTAGCGCCCCTGGGTCACACTGCACCTCAGACCCTCAGACCCTGACCCCCACAGGCCTGCAGGGCAGAGGCAGCCACAGCCCACATCGGGGCACTGGGTGGTGGCACTGAGACCACCCCCAACCCCACCTCCTGTCCACCTGGGCATAGGGGTTGGCATCCAGCACACAGAGGCCAGAGCTGCTGGGGCTGTGGCCCTCGGTGTGGCCTCAGGCCGCCTCAGGTCCAGCCCTTCTGCCATGGACTAGTCGCTCTCCATCCCAGTGCCAGCAAAGGACATGGAGCCCTAAGGGGAAGCACCCATGGCTGAGGGCCAGGGTGTGGGGATCCCACTGGGTGCCGTGCTCAGGAATTCACCAGGATGCCTGGAGGAAGCACACCATCCTCCCACACCGCCACCACAACAGAACCTGCCAGGGCCAAGACCACATGGTGCTTGTCCCCTGTGGCAGTGCCCAGCCCTTGCCAAGAGCCACTGTGTGGTGCAGACACTGACCGGAGCCGGACCACCACTGTCGGTCGGGGGCCCAGGAGAGCTTGACATCATTTTTCGTCTTGAGCCAACCCAAGAGAGAGCAAACGGGTACAGGAATGCTCAGGGCCCACCTGAGTGGCTGCACCTCAGGCAGTGCCCAACGGAGGAGAGGGGCTGACGAGCTATGACTGACAGGCCAACATCCCTGATGAGCTTCGTTGGCAAAGTCCTCAATAAAATGCCAGCAAAACTTAATTCAGCAGTATACTAAGAGGATTATACACCCTAACGAAACAGGATTTACTCCTGGAATGCAAGGATGGTTTAACATACAGAAGTCAAACTATGTTCAGCATACAAAATGTTCAACATAGAAAATTCAGTATTAGCAGAGTGGAGGAAACTACATGACCCTCTCGACTGATGCAGGAAGAGCATTCAAAACCCTTTTATGGGCCGGGCGCGGTGGCTCAAGCCTGTAATCCCAGCACTTTGGGAGGCCGAGGCGGGTGGATCACGAGGTCGAGAGATCGAGACCATCCTGGTCAACATGGTGAAACCCCGTCTCTACTAAAAATACAAAACATTAGCTGGGCACGGTGGCTCGTGCCTGTAATCCCAGCTACTCAGGAGGCTGAGGCAGGAGAATTGCCTGAACCCAGGAGGCGGAGGTTGCGGTGAGCTGAGATCGCGCCATTGCACTCCAGCCTGGGTGACAAGAATGAAACTTCGTCTCAAAAAAAAAAAAAAGTAAATAAAAACAAAACCCTTTTATGATAAAAAACATTCAACAGGCCAGGTGTGGTGTTTCACACCTGTAATCCCAGGACTTTGGGAGGCCAAGGTGCACAGATCACTTGAGGTCAAGGAGTTCAAGACCAGCATGTCCAACACGGTGAAACCCCGTCTCTACTAAAAATACAAGTATTATTTGGGCGTGGTGGTGTGTGCCTGTAGTTCCAGCTACTTGGGAGGCTGAGGCAGGAGAATCGCTTGAACCCAGGAGGCTGAGGCTGCAGTGAGCCGATACTGAGCCACTGCACTCCAGCCTGGGCAACAAAATTGAGACTTCATCAAAAACAAAAAAAATTAAACAAACGAGGAATTGAAGTAAACTCCCTAAACTCAATGAACACCATATATCAAGCCCACAGCTAATATACTCAGTGGTGAAAACTAAAGGCGTTTCCTCTGAAGTCAGGAACCAAGCAAGCACGCCTTTGTCACGTCCGTATCACACACTGGAAGTTCTGGCCAGAGCAATTAGACAAGAAGAAAAGTCATCCAAACTGAAAAGGGAGAGGTAAAATCACCTGTTCTCAGATGACATAATCTTTTATGTAGAAAATCCTGGAGTCCATATTAAAAAAAAAAAAAAAAAAAAAAAAAACCATGACATTAACAAAGTTACAGGATACAAAACAGCAAAAGAAGCAGAAACTCTATATATGAACAATGAAGAATCTGAAAAGGAAATTATGAAACCGTATCTATTTACAATAGCATCCGAAAGAATAAAATATGGCCAGGTGCAATGAGTCACGCCCATAATCCCAGCACTTTGAGAGGCAAAGGCGAGTGGATCATCTGAGGTTGGGAGTTCAAGACCAGCCTGGCCAACATGGTGAAACTCCGTCTCTACTAAAAATACAAAAAAAAAAAAATTAGCTGGGTGTGGTGGCGAGTGCCTATAATCCAAGCTACCAAGGAGGCTGAGGCAGGAGAACTGCTGGAACCCAGGAGGAAGAGGCTTCAGAGACCTGAGATTAAGCCACTGCGCTCCAGCCTGGGCAACAGAGCAAGACCCCGTCTCAAAAAAATAAAAAATAAATAAATAAAATACTTGGCAATTCACTTAACCAAAAAAAGTGAAAGACTTGTACAAGGAAAACTGGCCGGGTGTGGCAGCTCAGGCCTGTAACCCCGACACTCTGGGAGCCTGAGGCAGGAGGGTCACCTGACGTCAGGAGTTCAAGACCAGTCTGGCCAACATGGTCAAACCCTGTCTCTACTTAAAAAAATAGCTAGGCATGGTGGCATGCACCTGTAATCCCAGCTACTTGGGAGGCTGTCAGGAGAATCACTTGAATTGGGGAGGCGGAGGTTGCAGTGAGCTGAGATCACGCTACTGCACTCCAGCCTGGGCAAGAGGGAGACTCCATCTCAAGAAGAATTAAAAAAAAAAAAAAAAGAAAACCGGCCGGGTGTGGTGGCTCACACCTGTGATCCCAGCACTTTGGGAGGCTGAGGTGGGCAGATCACGAAGTCAAGCGATCGAGACCATCCTGGCCATGGGGAAACCCCGTCTCTACTAAAAATACAAAAATTAGCCAGGTGTGGTGGCATGAGCCTGTGGTCCCAGCTACACGGGAGGCTGAGGTGGAAGAATCGCTTGAACCCAGGAGGCGGCAGCTGCAGTGAGCTGAGATCGCGCCACTGCACTCCAGCCTGGCAACAGAGCAAGACTCCGCCTCAGAAAAATAAAGAAAAAAAATAAAATCACACATTGCTGAGACATCAAGGCAATATAGTGAATGCAATCCCTGTAAAAACACCAATTACTTTCTACAGAAATAGAAAAACCATTCCTAAAATTGATATGGAATCCCAAGGGATCCCAAATAGCCAAAACAAAAACAAATTTTTTTTTTTTTTTTTTTTTTTTTTTTGAGGAGTCTCACTCTGTCGCCCAGGCTGGAGTGCAGTGGCACAATCTCAGTTCACTGCAACCTCCGCCTCCCGGGTTCCAGCAATCCTCGTGCCTCAGCCTCCCAAGTGGTTGGGACTACAGGATTGCACCACCACACCTGGCTAATTTTGTGTGTTTTTTTTTCTTTTTTTTTTTTTGAGACGGAGTTTCGCTCTTGTTACCCAGGCTGGAGTGCAATGGTGCGATCTCGGCTCACCGCAACCTCCGCCTCCCGGGTTCAGACAATTCTCCTGCCTCAGTCTCCTGAGTAGCTGGGATTACAGGCACGCGCCACCATGCCCAGCTGATTTTTTGTATTTTTAGTAGAGACGGGGTTTCACCATGTTGACCAGGATGGTCTCGATCTCTTGACCTCGTGATCCACCCGCCTCGGCCTCCCAAAGTGCTGGGATTACAGGCTTGAGCCACCGCACCCGGCCTAATTTTGTATTTTTAATAGAGACAGGGTTTCTCCATGTTGGTCAGGCTGGTCTTAAACAACTGACCTCAGGTGATCTGCCCGCCTCGGCCTCACAAAGTGCTGACATTACAGGTGTGAGCCACTGCGACTGACCAATTCTTTGTATTTTTAGTAGAAACAGGGTTTCATCATGTTGGCCAGACTGCTCCAGAACTCCTGACCTCAGGTGATCCACCCACCCCAGCCTCCCAAAGTGCTAGGATTACAGGTGAGAGCCACTGTGCCCGGCCCAAATTATCATTTTATTCATTTTCTTTGAGACAGAGTCTCACTCTGTTGCCCAGACTGGAATGTAGTGACACAATCTCGGCTCACCGCAACCTCTGCCTCCCGGGTTCCAGCGACTCTCCTGCCTCAGCCTCCTGAACAGCTGGGACTACAGGTGCCTGCCACCACACCCAGCTATTTGTTGTAGTAGAGATGGGGTTTCACCATGTTGGCCAGGCTGGTCTCAAACTCCTGGCCTCATCTGATCCTCTCGTCTTGGCATCTCACTGTGCTGGGATTACAGGCATAAGCCACTGAGCCCAGCCCAAATTGTTACTATTGTTTAAGACAAGGTTTCTCTCTGTTGCCCCGGCTGGAGTACAGTGGCACAATCACAGCTCACTGCAGCCTCGACCTCCTGGACTCAAGTGATCCTCCCACCTCAGCCTCCCACGCAGCTGGGATTACAGGCATGCACCACCCGGTCCAGCTCACTTTTTTATTTTGTGTAGTGATGGATGGGTTCTCCGCATGTTTTACAGGCTGGTCCTGAACTCCTGGCTTGAAATCATCTGGCAGATCCGGCCTACCCAAATGCTGGGGATACAAGTGCCAGCCACCACCACGCCCGGCCTCTGCTTTCTTAGCTGTGGAAACAGACCTGGTCCCGAGTGGGGATGGCCTAGAGCAGAGCCCTCGGCTGACTCAGGATGGGGTTTGAGATCTGGGCTCTTTGTCACAGTGGCATAACCCAGCCTGACTGACTAATACAGTCCCCCTTACACCCGGGCTCCAACATTCAAACAGAGGTCGTTGGCTGCTTCATTAATCTGACACACATTCCTTCGAAAGCACCACTCAATTTAGCGACCAGGTTGTCGGGCAGCCTCTGCGGACACCCGAGGCGGCGATGCCTGTGCATGCCTGTGGTGCCTTCCACCCCACAGACCTGGTTTTGCTTTTCCAGCGACCCCCAAAGACCAATGCTTTCGGGGTGGCCACACCCACACTCCCGTGGGTCCCAGCTCATCAGCCCTGGAACACCATAGCTGCAGGAGGGGACCCTCCAAGGAAAAACTGGCTTGGGGACAATGAGAGGCCACTCCCACCCACGTGTCTGAGCCCATCAAGCAGGACCAAGCAGAGAGCCCTGCGTGACCCTCAGCTGTGGACATGGCACCAACCTCCGGAAGGCAGAAGCAGGCACACATTCCGACAGAGTGGCCCGATTAAGGTGGGGCCCATGTCACGTCTGTGCACAGAAATCCCCTCAAGAGAAGTCCCGCGTGACACCGGTGCTGGGACAGGCCTGGCACAAGCAAGCTTTTCCACAGCAGCCAGGCTCCCATCCAGGTGGGCACACCCCAGCTGACTCACCTGCCAGGCCAAGGCCAGCTGGGCGATCTCCCGGCCCGACATGCCCTCTGTCAGCCGAGCGACCTCTGAGCACTTCCTCCCATAGTCAAACTGGGCCAGCTTCAGGCGCCTGGGGAAGGAGTTCCCATGTGGGCCCGCCGTGGCAGCGGCTCCCACACAAGGTAGGGGCTGGAAGACAGGCCGCAGGCCCATGCCAAATGCCCCCTGGGGAGGGGCTCTCTTCCAGTGAAAGCCAAGCTCTGCCCCGTCCCCTGCAGGCCTGGGGGGGGGGCACTGGGCAGGAAGGGGGAGGCTGCAGGGCCTAGAGATGCGCCAGCCCCGCCCACGCCTGTGCACTCCGCACCTGCAGGGCACGTGGCTGTTAAGCTGGCAGCGCTGGAGCCCTGACTACCAGCGAAAGTGTCTGTCTGGGGGCCACAGAAGCCAGGTCATAGTGCCAGGGCTAGGAGCAGCCATGGGGGTGGGAGAGCACAGGACAGGGGAGGGGCAAAGGGAAACTGAGGCCCGGACAGCTCAGCTCGCACAGAGCAGGTGGCAGTGGAGGGAGCAGGAGGGGTGGCAGGGGCGAACCAGGCTCTTTGGAACAGAGTGGCTTTTGTCGTCACTGGGGACAGCAGGGATATAGGTCAGGTACACAGAAGGACTCGGAAACCAGGGCCCTGGAGACGCCAAGAAGTGGAGCAGCCTCTTCTCATCTGGAGAGTTCCCGATGCAGCTGGCACGGGCGTCAGGGCCCCTCATCACCTGGAGGGCTCTGCCCATGGTGCCTGCTGCACTCGCTGCCAGGGACAGGGAGCCTGACGGCCTCAAGGCACATGTGCAGCCGGAGCTGTGCCCACACGGCGCCTGCACGGCACCACAGCCTCGCGCACGCCGTGAGGCCCCAGGGCCAGGCGTACGGCTGGAAGGAGGCCAGGCTGGCCCCCAGCAATGAACCACAGGGGGCCGCTCCTCCCAGTCCCCACGCAGGGGTCTCAGAGCAACACTCCGCGTCACCTCTCCTCACTGCCGGGGCCTGGGGGCGGCCTGGGCACAGGATTTCCTTAAAACCCTCTGCCTAGCGAAGAGGAGTGGAAACGAGGCTGGGTGTGGTGGCTCATGTCTGGGATCCCTGAGCTTTGGGAGGTCGAGGCAGGTGAATCACTTGAGGTCAGGAATTTGAGACCAGCCTAGCCAATATAGTGAAACCCCGTTTCTACTAAAAACACACGAAAAAGGGCTGGGCGTGGTGGCTCACACCTGTAATCCCAGCACTTTGGGAGGCCGAGGTGGGTGGATCACGAGGTCAAGAGATCGAGACCATCCTGGCCAACACGGTGAAACCCTGTGTCTATTAAAAATACAAAATCAGCTGGGCATGCTGTGGGCTGCCTGGAATCCCAGCTACTCAGGGGGCTGAGGCAAGAGGATTGTCTGAACCTGGGAGGCGGAGGTTGCAGCGAGCTGAGAGCACACCACTGTCCTCCAGCTTGGGAGACATGGCGAGATTCCATTGAAAAAAACAACAATCAGTGTTTCTTCAGAGAATAAAGACAGAAAAAAACAAACAAACAAAAAAGAAGACTGGGAAAGGTCTCTGAGTGACAGTGAACTCTGCCTCGAAAGCCCGAGAAGACGCCACCAGGCTGTTTCCAGGTGACATGAGGAAAGGGGGGAGGCGCCCCCAGAACCCTTGGGGACTCGGCCTGAGAGAAACCACAGGGAAAGGAGGTGGTGCCCACCCTGGACACGGGAGGGGCCTGGCGGGTGCGTCTGGAGAGTGGGGCGTGGGGTGGCCCCTGGACAAGGGGGGCCGGGGGGCAGGACACTTACTGCTTTCCTTCTGTGGCTGGCTTAAGAACATACTTGTCAAAATACAATCTCACCAGGCGCTCCCGCTCCTCCTGCCGCGGCAGGTCGAAGCTGACTATCTCATCAATGCGGTCGTTGATGGCCCAGTCGAACTGCTCAGGCTGGTTGCTGGCCAGGACCAGCATGAACCTGTGGGACACAGACAGGGATGCTGGGGCCGCCCCGAGGGGGGTGGGGGCTCCTCGGCACCCCCAGGGAGACTTTCCAGGAGAAGCTGAAGAGGTAACTTGTGAGCGTGGGCAACACAGGAGGACGTGGGCACAGCCCTGGTCACCTGCCTGCCCCGAGGTGCCTGCACACCCCACGGCGCCCACCCACCTGAGCACCCAGCTGCCTGCCTGCCCAATGCCCACCCACATGATGCCTGCTCACCCCACCGCACCCAGCTGCCCACCTACCCCAGAGTGCCCACCTACCCCACAATGCCCACCCACCCGGCCGCCTGGCTTTCTGGGGCTCTGTTCTCACCCCATGTTTCACTTCCCCGCTGACCCTGGCCCAGACTGACAGGCGGTGCCGGGAACACCACTCCCTCCTGCTGCCTGAGCCCCACTGCGCTCAGAGCAGGGATGACGGACCCAGAGTCCGTGTTGAGAATACACCCACGTGAGCCAGGAGCAGGGCCTCGGGGCCCAGCTCAGCGGAACAGGGAGACAGGACTCGGCAGGGCCCAGCCTTCCTCTCTGGGAAGGACCCGAGTCAGACTCCAGGCAGCAGCTGAGCCAGCGAGCCCAACATGCCTGCGGAGTCAGCCACGGCCCAGCGGTGGGGCCTGATCCTCCGTGTGACGTGCGGCTGGCGCTCAAGGGGCCCAGTAAACGAAGAAAACTCAAAATCAGGGGATTTGGGAGGGACTAGGGAGCCCGGCCGTAGGCAACCACCCTACTGGTGACCTCTGGGCAGCAGCCCACAGAGGTTGCACAAAGATGGGGTAGGCCCCAAGCCTGGAGGGTGCACCCTTGCCCAGCATCCAGGCGCAGGGCCAAGGCCCCAGGCTCCGCCCCAACACACCGGACCTGCTCCCACCCATCTTCTCATGGAAGAAAGCATGTCACCATCTCCCAGGGCACCACACCCTCCAAGGGAGACTCAGCAGGGCCTCAGACGGTCAGACCACCTCCCCTGCAGGCGCAGGACCACAGACCCCCAGGGGAGACAGACCTGCTGGCGGTGCACAGGCGAGGCCAGGACGGACCCGGGCTCTGCCCGGGAGGCCCATGTTCCTCAGTGACCCCTGTGCTGTCCCAAGCTAGGACCTTCCCAGGGGACATCTGAGGTGGGCCTGTGCCCTGCCCAAGGGCCCAGGACCCGAGGCGCTTCCTCACTTGCTGCTGTGCTGGCCTGTGCGGTGCAGGAAGGCATTCAGGGTGGCTCTGAGGTCCTCACTTATCTTCTCCTGCAGAGAGAAGGTTCCAGCCTCAGGCACCAGGAGCAAAGCCTCATCAACAGCCACAGCAGAAAGTCCCACAGGCCTCCACTGCAGGGATGCAGCGACACTTTCATGGCTCTACACTCAAAAGCTTGACCAGGGTCAGGCGAGGTGGCTCGCCCATGTAACCCAGCATTTTGGGAGGCTGAGGCGGGCAGATCACCTGAAGCCGGGAGTTTGAGACCAGCCTGGCCAATGTGGTGAAACCCTGTCTCAACTAAAAATGCAAAAATTACCCAGGTGTGGTGGCACCTGTAGTCCCAGCCACTTGGGAAGCCGAGGCACGAGAATCACTTAAACCTGGGAGGTGGAGGTTGTAGTGAGCTGAGATCGTGCCACGCACTCCAGCCTGGGCGACAGAGACCCTGTCTTAAAATAGTAACTTTATGGCTAGGCATAGTGGATCACCCATGTAATTCCAGCATTCTGGGAGGCTGAGGCGGGCGGATCATTTGAGGTCAGGAGTTCTTGACCAGCCTAACCAACATGGTGAAACCCTGTCTCAACTAAAAATACAAAAAACTTAACTGGGTGTGGTGGCAAGTGCCTGTAATCCCAGCTATTCAGGAGGCTGAGGCAGGAGAATCAATTTAATCCAGGAGACAAAAATTGCAGCAAGCCAAGATTATGCCACTGCAAGCCAGCTTAAAGGATGGAACAAGACTTCATCTCAAATAAAATAAAAACAAAAATAGGCTGAGCGTGGTGGCTCACACCCGTAATCTCAGCACTTTGCGAGGCCGAGGTGGGCAGATCACAAGGTCAAGAGATGGAGACCATCCTGGCCAACATGGTGAAACCCCATCTCTACCAAAAATACAAAAATTAGTCGAGTGCGGTGGCGGGCGCCCATAATCTCGGCTACCCGGGAGGCCGAGGCAGGAGAATCGCTTGAACCCAGGAGGTGGAGGCTGCAGTGAGCCGAGATTGTGCCACTGCACTCCGGCCTGAAGCAACAGAGTGGGACTGTCTCAGAAAACAAAACCAAACCTCAAAAGTCCAAACTTAACTTTAAGGTGACCCAAAAAATACTGGGTCTTTCACACAAAACTCACAGAGAAAATTTAGTACTAGAGGAGCAGGCTGTGGCCTGGCCCAGGATGACGCCCGCCCAGCACACCCGTGGCCAGACGGAGGCTTAGGGACACTCACGGTGGCTCGCTTCCGAAGAAAGGCGTCCGCTTCGTCCACAAAGAGCAGGAGGCTGTGAACGAGAGGGAGGCCCGCGTGACGCCAGGAGCAGCCCACAGGAGTGTCCGGCCGCGTCAGGAGCAGGTCGAGCGGGCAGGTCCCCACGGGGTGCAGCCTCTGCCCCAGCAGGAGCCCTCAGTCCTGGGTCCCACAGAATTCCATCCACCCGGCCCCTGGGCAGCTGACCGTGCCCCGGCCTCAGAAGGCCGTGGGAAACCAATCGTGTACAGGCTGACAAACTTCACAGCCTATGGAGTGCTGGTGGCCGCTCAGAGCCCACGCCAGGGCAGGGCCTTCTAAAGTGAAAGGTCAAAGGCCAGAGGGGAGGGCGCCAGCCATGAGACACATGATGCCAACGGGTAAAGCCGAGGCCATAAGGGTGCCAGGCAGTGCCCTCCTCGGGGTCACCATGGGACCTTGCGAAGGGCACATGCCATGCTGTCTTCAGCTACCTTTCAGATGGTTCTACGAAAAGGAGCCAGTACCCACACCACCCACACGTGTGTTCAAGGGAGGGGCGGCACTGGGGGAGGGACCCTTCCCCCCGCCCCCGCCCACCTCTCTTCAGCCCTGAGCCAAGGATCCCACTGACAGCCACCTTGTGTCCACCAGGGTCCACACTCGGGGGACTTTCCCTTCGAGGGACCCTCCACCGGGCCTCCTGCGTGGCCACAGGGACAGAGCTTCAGAAAGACAAGGTTCTGGAAAGCCACCTGGACCCTGTTCCCAGAAGGCATCCTGCCGGGCCGCACTGGAAGGCCTGTGTCAGTGCTGTGGGGACGTCTCACCCGCGCCGGCTGGTACTGGCCCAGTCGAAGACCTTGTGCATAGCGGTCACGCCTTCCCGCCCCATGGGGGCCACGTCCCCGCCTGTCATGATGGCGTAGTCCATCCCTGAGTGCAGGGCAAGTTTCTGCACAGGAAGGGTGGGGGAGAGCGAACAGATGCTTCCCTTTGCCTCTGCGAAGCCTGCACCCTCCACCCGGCGTCCCTGCCCAGAAGCCACGCCCAGCCAGACAGGAGACGTCCCCTGTCCGGAAGATGGGAGGTGCCGATGCCCACAAGGGCACCCTGAGCCTCCATGAGGGTGGGCAAAGGCCTAAGGGGGGGGTCCACTCCTGGGTGGCTGAGTCCCCAGACCCCTGCAGGCAGGTGAGACCCCAGCGGCCCCGGCCCTGTGCAGCCAGGCCTCTCACCTTGGCAAACAGCGTCTTGCCGGTGCCTGGCGGCCCGTACATCAGGACGTTCCGGTACAGACTCTGGTTCTTCCTGGTGTTCCTTGTTGCTATGGCGATGTCACGCACACGTGCTTCCAGGCTGGGCTGCCGGGGAAGACGGGCTTGAGGGACACACTATGCCCCCATGGAAGCCTCAGGGGCAGGGGCTTCGGAAATGCCCTGCGGCGAACCGTGCTCCCCAGAAAGTTACCCAGCCCAGCTCACAGTAGCCTCTCCCGGGGACCTGCCCGGCTCGCAGCAGCCTCTTCCCAGCAGGGTACACGCAGTCACATCTCAAGAACCAAAAGCTCCTGGGTGCCACCACAAGTGCCAGCAAGGGCCACACCCCAGCCCAGCTCCGGGGTCCCCTCCCCGCGCCTCCCCCACCCAGCGGACTTACACTGAGCACAACACCCTCCAGGGCATCCTGGGGCCGACTGAGGAGCCGCCGGGTGACCTGCCAGCGGGAAAGGGGAAGCACCACTGGGTCACCGGCCACAGCCACGGCAGAGCCCCGACACATAACTCTCGCTCACACGCAGAAACGGAGCTCCCCAAAGCACAGCCAGGACCGGCCAGGAGCTGGAACCCTGCCTGCCGGCAGACCAGGCACCCACTGTTGGAATTAGGGGCACTGCCCGGTTCCTTATGGCTTATTTTCTTCACCACCCACCGAGTGACCTGTGGAGACCCCTCGCCACGTGCGGAGAGCAGGCGCGTTGGGGATGGCGAGCGACTCGGCTCCCCAGGGAGGCCGCCAGACACCGTGGCTGCAGCAGCTTCCCCAAGAGACGACGGCACACCCAGGTCCCGGGCTGTGCAAGGGCCCCAAAGGGCACCCAGGCCCCATCAAGGGCCCAGAGCAGGGGAGACCCAGGCCGGCAGGGGAAGGGTCTCACAGGTGCAGACCCCTGAGCTCCAGCGCTGGACAGCAAAACCCACACATAAAGCAGCGTGCAGGGGCCCGTCGTCGGGGAATGGGAAGTACAGGACGGGGTGCACAGCTGTGCTAAGGGCGGAAGGGACTCAGCCAGGAACCGCACTGGGGGGCAGCCAGGCCCGTACCGCTACCTGGAGGGGGTGCCGCAGAGCCTCCAGCACCGTGACACGGGACGTCTCTCTCACCAGGGACGGCTTCCCCAGTCGAGCCTCGATGTAGCGGCCGGCGACAGCCGTGGCATTCTTGGCCGAGTAGACCCCGACGGCCAGCAGCGTCAGCCCGGCCACCTGCAGCAGAGACACCGCACTGACATGCCTGCCCCCACCCTCCCGCCCTCCTTCCTTCATGAGTGGGAGACGCATGGAGCTGCCCTCACCCTCTCTGCCACCCGGAGAAGCACCGGGCTGTGTGCTGGCCCCACAGTAACCCGAATTCCCGGCCCCGAATCCCACAGCCACTCAGTTACAGGAGGCAGGCAGGCTGTCACAGCACCCTCTCTCAGGGCGATTTTCTCTGCAACTGGCAGCACAAATCCTCCAGAGCCGCGGCTGCTGAGCAGCGTCCCCGGCAGACCCAGCTGGATCCGTCACAGGGGTACACCCTCTGCTACTTTCTTGGCCGCTAAAAATGGTACTTTCTTCCTGAAAAACAAGGCTAACCCGAAATCTCTAACTCATTTGAGAAATTGATTGGGCCAGCCGGGAGAGGTGGCTCACGCCCGTCATCCCAACACTTGCGGAGGCTGAGGCGGGCAGATCGCCTGAGGTCGACAGTTTAAGACTGGTCTAACCACCATGGAGAAACCCCGTTTCTACTAAAAATACAAAAATTGGCCGGCCATGGTGGCACACGCCTGTAATCCTAGCACTTTGTGAGGCAGGTGGATAACCCAAGGTCGGGAGTTCGAGACCATCCTGGCCAACATGGCAAAAACCCGTCGCTACCAAATATAGAAAAATCAGCCGGGCATGGCACCATATATTCGCAGCTACTGAGGATGCTGAGGCAGGAGAATTGCTTGAACCCGGGAGGCAGAGGTTGCAGTGAGCTGAGATGGCGCCACTGCACTCCAGCATGAGTGACAGAGCAAGACCCTGTTTCTAACAACGAACAAAAGCCCCCGGTGCACTAAGCAGCTCCCTCATGTCCTCATGTGACAACCTCTACCAACACGGGCAGCAACACCACCGGTGACATTCATCATCATGCTGATGCTCACTGCCACGTTGACACCGTCACGCTGACACCGTCACGCTGAGACCACCACGCTGACACTCCTCACGCTGACCTCATCACACTGACACCGCCACGCTGACACTCATGCCACACTGACATGTCATGCTGACACTCAGCGCGCTGACCTCATCACACTGACACTCATCACGCTGACACTTGTGCCACACTGACACTCATGCCACACTGACACCGTCACGCTGACACTCATCACGCTGACACCGCCACACTGACACTCATCACGCTGTCACTCCTCACGCTGACATCACACTGACACTCGTCACGCTGACATTGTCATGCTGACACTCATCACACTAACCTAATCACACTGACACCGTCACGCTGACACTCATGCCACGCTGACACTCATCACGCTGACCTCATCATAGACACCGTCACGCTGACACTCATCATGCTGACACCGTCACGCTGACTCATGCCACACTGACACCATCATGCTGACACTGCCATGCCGACACTCATGCCACACTGACATGTCATGCTGACAATCACAGACACCATCACGCTGACACTCATCACACTGACCTAATCACACTGACAAGACACCGTCACGCTGACACTCGTGCCACACTGACACCATCACGCTGACACTCATGACACACTGACGCCGTCACACTGACCTCATCACGCTGACACTTGTGCCACGCTGACACTCATGCCACACTGACACTCATGCCACACTGACACCGTCACGCTGACACTCATCACGCTGACACTGTCACGCTGACACTCCTCACGCTGACACCATCACGCTGACACTCATCACGCTGTCACTCCTCACGCTGACATCGTCACACTGACACTCGTCACGCTGACACTCATCACACTGACCTAATCACACTGACACCGTCACGCTGACACTCATGCCACGCTGACACTCATCACGCTGACCTCATCATAGACACCGTCACGCTGACTCATGCCACACTGACACCATCATGCTGACACTCATCATGCTGACACTGCCATGCCGACACTCATGCCACACTGACACCGTCATGCTGACAATCACACTGACACCGTCACACTGACACTCACCACGCTGACACCGTCACGCGGACACCGTCATGCTGACACTCATCACACTGACCTAATCACACTGACAAGACACCGTCACGCTGACACTCATCACACTGACACTCACCACGCTGACACTCATGCCACACTGACACCGCCACGCTGACACTCCTCACGCTGACACCGTCACAGACACTCATCACGCTGACACCGTCACGCTGACACTCATCACGCTGACACCGTCACGCTGATGCTGTCACACTGACACTGCCTTGACACTGACAGCCACTCACTGTCACACTGACTCTGTCATACTGACACCGTCAGTGACACTCACCATGATACTGCCATCACACTGACACTCACTGCCACACAGAAACTGTCACACTAACACCATCACCCTGATACTCACCACCACACTGACAAACGCCACACTGACACCACTACCAGTCACACTGACTAGCTAGCAGCTAGCAGCAAGCCATGCAGTCACAGCGCTGGGCAACGCAGCGTGGCAGAGCAAGTGCCCACACATACCAGGTGCCTACTGTGTGCCGGGCAGTGGGAGACAGACGGCACGGCCATGAGTGACGTGGTGTGCCACAGCAGGCCGGAGGCTGCGCACAGAAGAGAGTGCGTCTTTAAACGCGAGAGGAATCTACCAACTTGGAACTCGCTGGGTTTTATGAATTGCAAAACGGAGTCAGGATGGCCTTTTTTTTTTGCCCCAGGACAAACCCTCCCTCTCTCCGCAGGCTGGAGTGCAGTGGCGCGACCTCGGCTCACTGCAGCCTCTGCCTCCTGGGTTTAAGCGATTCTCCTGCCTCGGCCTCCCTAGTACCTGGGACTACAGGTGTGCACCACCATGCCCGCCTCATTTATTTTATTTTTTTAGTAGAGGTGGGCTTTCACGGTGTTAGCCAGGATGATCTCCATCTCCAGACCTTGTGATCCGCCCACCTTGGCCTCCCCAAAGTGCTGGGATTACAGGCATGAGCCACCACACCCAGCCGTTTTTTCCTGGAGACAAAGGCTCTCTCTGTTGCCCAGGATGGAGGGTAGTGGTACAATCTTGGCTCACCACAGCCACAACCTCCTGGGCTTAGGTGATCCTCCTGCCTCAGCCTCGAGTAGCAGGACCACAGGCGCCACCACCACATCAGCTAACGTGTTATTTTTGTAGCGACGGGGTCTCACTAAGGACCCAGGGTGAGGGTTTTCTTCTGTGTTTTCTGCTCCCAGCTAGAGGAGGGAGGAGCAGCCATGGCAGGTCCCAGGTAGCCACGCGCTGTACTGGGAGAGCGCCGGGGCCTGCGCACAGCCGCCGGGGACGGGACCTGGCTCCGGGAGGCCTCAAAGGCTACCCACCGCCACAGGCCAGCCCCGCCCAGGACACGCGCATTTACCGTGGCTGTCACTTTGTCCCAGTCTGTCACAAAGGCACGGAATCCTTCCCCAAACAAGGTGCCAGCCGTCCTACGGGGGAAAGCAGCCACGTGAGGGACACAAAGACCTGTGCCACGTGGCAAGAGCACGTTGAGGGCGAGGCCCTGACAAAGCAGCCCAGCCCTGCCGGGCAGAGGAGCAGTACACCCACCAAGGAGCCAGCCTATAGCAGCCAGGCCTGGCAGAGCTGGAGAGCACCCGGGGACCAGTGACTCCCACCTGCAGGGGTGTCTGCAGCCGGCCTGGGCCTGGGAGGCGCTCACCTGATGGACTCCAAGACGGTCTGGCGGTGCTCGGCCGCCTTCAGGCGTATCTGCTCGCGGACAATGTCTGCGTTCTCCCGCTCGGCCTTGGCGCGCGCCCGGGCCTCAGCCTCCACCCGCAGCATGTCCTGCTTGTGCCGCAGCTCCATCTCCCGCTCCACGGTGGCTGCCCCAGAAACAGGCAGAAAGCTCAGTGCCATGCATGCACCACGTCTCCCCACACCATGGACGGGCCCACACCGCAGCCAGGCCCACCCCGCCAGCGGGCCCACACCGCAGACAGAAACACACAGGCCTGGGTAGGGACAGCACCCTAGGCTGGCCCTGCCCATGGACGAGGGCCCCTGAAATCCAACCCAGAGGCCCAGGCACCTTCTCAGGGCAATGCGTTTAAAGCAACAGAGCAAAAGGTGGAGTTCCCTCTTAGGCAGAAACACAGTGGTCAGAACTCCACAGGGACACGTGACGTGCCACGTGCCACGGCTGATGACATATGAAACGTGCACACCTTGCCAAGAGCCCACCCCTGCCTGGTGAAAGGCAGTGACAAATGCTGCCTGGGGCCCTCACCAACAAATGCTGTCTATCACCAAACACCTGTGATCCCCACCGAGACCAGGACCAAGACCATATTCCAGGCAGGGCGAGTGGCTCACGCCTGTAATCCCAGCACTTTGGGAGGCCAAGACAGGCGGATCACAAGGTCAGGAGTTCGAGACCAGCCTGGCCAACACAGTGGAACCGTTTCTACTTAAAATGCAAAAGAATTAGCTGGGTGTGGTGGCAGCACCTGTAATCCCAGCTACTTGGGAGGCTGAGGCTGGAGAATCACCTAAACCCGGAAGGCAGAGGTTGCAGTGAGCCAAGATTGTGCCACTGCACTCCAGCCTGGGCAACAGAGAGACCCCATCTCAAGAAAACCCACAAAACACAAAAAGACTCACATTCTTCCCATCAAATGAAGCAGCTCCCGTACTCCCCACACAGACCCTGACATCCCGTTGCAGACACAGGTGTCTTCCAAGAGGAAGCCCCACCCCACGGAGCCTGGACACCTTGCCCCCGGCACCCGCAGCTGTGAGGGGCCAGGCGCAGAACTCAGGCTCACGGTGAGCGCTGGGCGAGTGTCTGCCGGGCACTGCAGTCTACAGCGCAGCCGCCTCTGCCCTGGCCAGGAGCGTGCACGGCCTACCTCGCCGCATGGCCTCCTGCTTCTGCACTGACTCTTCCTGCTTCCGTAAATTCTCCTCATTGAGAAGTTGCTGAGAAGAAGCGGCAGAAAAAGAGAAACGCCTTTAAAACCAGAGAAACACTCAACACCAATCCAGAGATTGTGGCCTCCCTGGGACCTGAGGGCTCCGAGCATCCCGGGCACCTGGGGGCCTGCAGACGCCACACCTTGACACAGACATGGGTGACATCAGCCAAGACGGCAGATGCTATGGGGCTGGCTTCAGGGGCCCAAACTCCCTAGTTTGGGCCCCTGAAGAAACAGCATCCACTGTGGCTTCACTAACAGAAGCCACTGCAGTGCGGGCACCCAGCACCGTGGCGCTCTCAAGACCGTGCTGAAGGAAGCTCTGTCTTCAGCCGGTTGCGGTTTAAGCCCACAACGTCCGCAGCAGGCAACACGTGAACCCTGCATGTGAGCTGAGGGCTGAAGGGGACCAACCCCAACAAGCTGGGAGCAGGTGTCACCGAAGCTTTCGCACGGGCCAGGGCCCCACCCGCCACTGCTCACCAGCCGTCCCAAGCCGGGCCCCTGGAGGGAGGCAGGGAGGCCAGACGCACTTGGAGAGCCTCTGCTGTGGAGGCCACGCAGGTGTGTGCAGGGGGCAGGAAGGAGGGCGTGCATGACTGCATGCATGTGTGGGGGTGTGTGCGTGCCCGTGTGCTTAGGGGTATGTGTGTGCATGCCCACGTGTGAAGGGATGTGTGTGTGTGTGTTTTCAGAGCATGGGCGGGGGTCTGTGTATGTGTGCCCGAGTGTGTGTGCTCGTGTGCAGGGCGCCGTGAATGCCTGCGTGTCCCCATGCACCTGTGCCTGTCCACGTGTGCTGCCGCGTGTCTGTCTGAGTGAAGTCTCCCCCGCACTGACATCCATCATCAGCCACCCCAGCGTTCTTGCCCCACGGTCTCTAACCCGCTGACCGGTCCCGGAAAGCCACCTTCGTTCTCAGGGACGCAGGCCCCTCGCAGGGGAGGCTGAGCTCACCTGCTGCTTCAGCTGGTCCTCGTAGCGCTGCCGGGCCAGCTTGTCCTGATACTGGGCCCTCTGGAGAGAAAAGGGCAGCGGGGACACATCTCAGCCGGGAGCGGCCGCTGGGCTGACCGGACCGGGCACCGGGGCCTCCAACGCGCCATCAAACATGCGGAGGCAAGGGGACCTCCGGTCCAGCTCAGCAAGGAGGGACCTCGCAGGCCTCAGGTGTCTGTGCAAGGCTGTTCCGGGGCAGCTCTAACGGCTGACTCCAGTGAGCGGTCGGGCAGGAACTCAAAGCCCCGGGCCCACCCAGCTCCCAGTCCTGCCCCAGCCCCGGAGCCGGCAGCCTCCCTTACGGCCTGGTGCTGTCGCGTCTCCTCGTTCAGGGTCTTCCTCTTCTCCTCGGCCTGCAGCCGGATCTGCTCGCTCTTGAGCTGCTCCACAGCGGCCTCATACTCCTGCAGAGAAGAGAGCTCACCGCCTGGCACATTCTGGGGGCTCGCAATGCCTGACAGCCCCTCCAGCATCTGCACCAGCTCCAGCCCAGCAGAGACTCCCTACCCAGAGTACTGAGTGCAGCGGGCTCGGGGCTCCCAGCTGCATTTGCACCAGGCACAGGCCCTGGGGGAATCCAGACCCACGGTCGGAGAAGCACCAGCAGAAGCCTTCGAAAGCCCCTGGTGATTGAGGCCAGCCACCCGCAACCCCAAGACTGTTTCTGGGCAGCTCGGTTCAGGTGCTCCACTTCTGGACTGCGCCGAGAGCACAGCTCGGGCCTGTGGTAAGAATTCTGCTGAGTGCCCCACGTGCAATGGCTCTCACTATAATCCCAGCACTTTGGGAGGCCGAGGCAGGTGGATCACCTGAGGTCAGGAGTTCCAGAACAGCCTGGACAACATGGTGAAACCCCGTCTCCACTAAAAATACAAAAATTGGCCGGGCGCGGTGGCTCAAGCCTGTAATCCCAGCACTTTGGGAGGCCGAGGCGGGTGGATCATGAGGTCAAGAGATCGAGACCATCCTGGTCAACATGGTGAAACCCCGTCTCTACTAAAAATACAAAAAATTAGCTGGGCATGGTGGCGCATGCCTGTAATCCCAGCTACTCAGGAGGCTGAGAAAGGAGAATTGCCTGAACCCAGGAGGTGGAGGTTGCGGTGAGCCGAGATCGCGCCATTGCACTCCAGCCTGGGTAACAAGAGTGAAACTCTGTCTCAAAAAAAAAAAAAAAAAAAACAACCAAAAAACAAAAATTAGTGAGATGTGGTGGCGGGCTCCTGCACTCCTGGCTGCTCAGGAGGCTGAGGCAGGAGGTAGAGACTGCAGTGAGCAAGATCAGGCCACTGCACACCAGCCTAGGGAACAGAGTGACAGTCTCAAAAAAAATAAAATGAACCCCTTGAACCCGGGAGGCAGAGGCTGCGGTGAGCCAAGATCCCAACATGGCACTCCAGCCTGGGCAACAGAGCAAGACTCCACTTCAAAATAAAGACAATGCAACACAATAAAACAAAAAAACACATCCTCCTGCGTGCAAAGAAACGAGATGAGAACGTCAGGAAGACGCCCGTCCTCACGGCGACGGGAACCTCCGCAATACCAGCCCCTCTTCAGGCAGCTCTGCACGGCGTCTCTGACCTCCCTTGTTTCCTTCTGTGAAATGAGGTGCCCAAGCTCAGCCCTGGGCCCCCCTGTTGCCCGTGGACGTGACCCCGGCCCTACCCAGCAGCACCGGCCCCCAGCAACCTCCACGCCCGAACCCCAGGTGTGCCCCCGGCCTCCCGTCCATGCCAGCTCCACTCACCTTGAGTTTGGACTGTTGCTCCAGCTGCAGCGTCTGCTCCTGCATCTGCGCCAGCTGGAGGGCGTCCTTGGCATGGCCTGCGGGCGCAGGGGCACACAGAGCAAGTGTTAAGATACGTGGGTGCCGCCGGGCAGGTATGCACACGAGCCAAGGGGCTTTCGGGAATCCACGGCCACTCCTCAAACCCCCTGCCCTGCCTCACCCATCCTCCCTCCCAGTCAGACCATGCGTGATGTCCCATCCCCAGCAGGCACCCTGATGCACTTGTGGGCTTTACCCCCCCAGGGACGGTCTTGGGGAGCCACATCAGGAAGGCACCCCACGTGGCCAGGGGGAGGCTATTTCCCCGTTCAACAAAGAGTCAGCTGATGGCTGAAGTGTTCTTTTTCACGTTACACACTTTTTCCTCAGCTTCCAACAGCTATTGTCATTGATCTGCTACCAAGCACGTGCAGCAAGACACGGAATGAGTAAGAATCAGAGCCCAGCTCAGGGTGACGAGAGCCCAGCTCAGGGTGACGAGAGCGAGCAAACCGGAACATCCACAGCTACATTTCGTTTCTAGTGTGGAACGGACGCAGGCCGACGTTCGGGCGTTCCAGACGGAAGTCGGCCTTCTCCAAGCTGGTGCGGCCTGAGCAGCAGGTCTCGAACCTTCCCAGGACGACACAGTCTTCCCATCACAAAATTTTTCCATAAAAATCTTCTGGGCCAGGCAAGATGGCTCAGGCCTGTAATCCCAGCACTTTGGGAGGCCAAGGCAGGCGGATCACAAAGTCAGGAGTTTGAGATCGGCCTGGCCAATATGGTGAAACCCCGTCTCTACCAAAAAATACAAAAATCAGACAGGCATGGCGGCCTGCGCCTGTGGTCCCAGCTACTTGGGAGGCTGGAGCAGGAGAATCACTTGAACGCAGGAGGGGAGGTTGCAGTGAGCCGAGATCACACCACTGCACTCCAGCCTGGGCAACAGAGCGAGACTCCATCTCAAAAAACAAAAACAAAACAAACTTCTGGCCAGCGTGGTGGCTCACTCCTGTAATCCCAGCACTTCGGGAGGCTGAAGCGGGTCGATCACTTGAGATGAAACTCCACCTCTACTAAAAATACAAAAATTAGCTGGATACGGCGGCGCGCACCCGTAATCCCAGCTGCTCTGAGGCTGAGGTGGGTGCATCACTCGAACCCCAGAGGCAGAGACTGCAGTGAAGCCAGATCAGCACTGCACTCCAGCTGGACAGGGTGGGACTTAAGGAAAAAAAAGGCCTCCAGCCTGGACGACATGGTGAAACCCCGTTTCCACTAAAAACACAGGCTGGGCGCGGTGGCTCACGCCTGTAATCCAAGCACTCTGGAGGCCAAGGCGGGCGGATCACCTGAGGTCGGGAGTTCAAGACCAGCCTGAGCAACATGGTGAAACCCCATCTTTTAAAAAAAAAAAACAAAACATGAAAAACAGCTGAGCACGGTAGTGCACGCTTGTCATCTCAGCTACCTGGGAGGCCAGGACAGAAGTGCACCCGGGAGACGGATGGAGGTTACAGAGATCGCACCCCTGCACTCCAGCCTGGTGAGGCGGCAGGGTGGAAACAAACATCTTCCAACACAGAAAGGCCCGTGAAGGGGCAGGGACACCCCGACCAGGCTGGGGCTTCGTTCCCGTCTCTGCCTCCCGCAGCCCATCTTACTTTTTTCAGCTTTCAGAGTAAACTGCAGCTAACACGTCATTAATTAGAGCTCAACGTTTGTTCGCAGCTCAGGTTCGTTTCTGGAGGTAACTGACACAGGTGTGAGGCACCGTTGTGAGATGGGCGGCGAAGCTTTGGTGTCTGGGGTGGGTCTGCCTGGGCTTGTTAGGCACGAACTGGGCTGACGGGCATCAGCGTCCGATTTCGGGAAGGCCCTTGGGAGCCAACCATGACCTGAGCACAGGTGACACACGGACCTGCCTCCCAGGGGAGATGGTGTCAAGACAACAACGGGTTTGGCTGGTGAGTGCGGGAAGCCAAGGGCTGAAGTGACCCGGGGCCCTCAACCGCTCTCTCTGACCCGGAGGGTGAGGAGGGTGCAATAGCCCCTGGGGTCTTGCCCCTGAGCAGTGGGCATCACGTGCGGAGCTCTGCCTCTTTCCTCCCTTTGGCTGGATTAAGATGAGTCCACTCCCTCCCTAAAAATGGCTGACAGTTCCCACCCCTACTGACTCCGGGGAGGATGAGGAGAAAGAGCAGGTCTGGGGCCATGTGGCCTCTCAGTCACGATAACAAAAACAATCAGTCACCACCTTGGAGTTACCCTGTGCCAGGTATGGGTGCCCCAGCGTATGAATTAAGCACCCACTGGGCATGAGGGCCTCCTCCAGGCACCCGCTCTGTGGAGTGCAGGTGCTCACAGACAGTGCTGGGCCAACGTGCTGCTCTGGCTTCCAAGGACAGGCCAGAGGGAGGGTCGGGGAAGGCCATGGGAACGAGGCGGCGTGGGGCTGGCCTCAAGGGCCAGATGACGCAGCCGGTCCAAGCGGAGGAGCCGCCGTTCGCCTGGAGAGCAGCAAGGCAAAAGCTACAGGCTCCGGACAGATCTCAGCGACCCTGCTGCCAGGCATGGGGCCCGGAGGAAGCCAGCAGCATCCAGAGGGGACAGGCCTGCGGAGGGGCAGGGCAGGGAGCGCCCTGGGAAAAAGAGATCCAGGACGGAGAGTGGGAGGCAAACTATGGAGAAGCCTCTCTCACCAGCCAGCGTGAGGCCAGGAGAAGAAAAAGAGTAAACATGAAAGCACCCACTCCTAGAAGATTCCACAGAAAACAGAGACTGACGCAGGGCTCCCCACAGTGCACCTGGAGCCCCTGCCACAGGCCCCACTCCATCATAGAAAGGGCCGGCCAAGGCCCTGGGAACCCGGGCAGATGAGATGGCGGGTCGGGAGCTCTGGGGCAGCCAGGACTGGACCAACTCAGACGCACAGGTCCACACGACGGGAAGGCCCACGGCTGCCTGAAGTTGCCCACACAGGCCTGTGCCACCGCAGGGGCCGGGGCTGACAACCAAGCTACAGCTTCTGAAAGTGGGCGAAGTTTCAATCTCTAGGTGATGTTAGCAGGTGAAAAGCCCCAGAACTAGGACAGAAAGGAACCGTCCAAATGAGGTGGCAACAAGAAAGTCAGTCACCAAACTCCGCTGTCCTCCAAGGTGCCCTAAGGTGCAGCCACTGACTCTTCCTCACCTGATCATTAAAATTACCCGGCAAGGCCAGGAGCAGCAGCTCACGTTGGTAATCCCAGCACTTTGGGAAGCCAAGGCGGATGAATCACCTGAGCCTGGGAGTTTGAGGCCAGCCTGGCCAACATGGTGAAACCCCGTCTCTACCAAAAACACAAAAATTAGCTGGGCATGGTGGCGGGCACCTGTAGTTCCAGCTACTCCGGAGGCTGAGGCAGGAGAATCGCCTGAACCCAGGAGGCGGAGGCTGCGGTGAGCCGAGATGGTGCCGCTGCACTCCAGCCCAGGCAGAGCAAGCCTGCAGTCCCCTCTACTGAGAAGGCTGAGGCAGCTGGAGGACTTTTACCCAAGATCAAGACTAGACAGGGCAACAAAGCAAGACCCCCACCTCCTAAAACCAGAACACGCAGGGGCAGTGGTGCCCAGCTACAGCTATTGATGTTGACCCGGGCCTGGGCCCAAACCTGAACGTCCCTCTGGGGTTATGAAACCCAGCTGGGCCCAGAGACCTCTGCTCAGGATGTTCCCATAGCCCCCTGGGGAAGGACTCTGGACGGACCCACAAGTGTCAAGCCTCCAGGCCTTCCCTCCATAGACAGGAGAACTCTGCTCCTATCTGCTTTACCCAAAGTGCTTCCCATCATGTATTCCCTGAAGGATCTTCTTTTTGAAAAGGAACCCCCGTATTCTTTCAATCAATACTTATTCAACTCCTTCCACGTTCCAGGCTCCTAGGCGTTTAAACCACATCGTGATTCCAATCGTTAAAGCCACAAGAAAAAGGAAGGCTGGGGAAGAGCCCCGAGCTCTAGGAATGTGGTCAGTACTCACACCTGAGAGCCTGGGTCGGGGATTTACTCAGGCTGGGCAGCGCGGCCTGGCCTGTGGCGTTACAGACCTCGCCGTGCAAACGCTAACGTCTTCCAACAATAAATGCGAACCTGCTACACTCTCGTTGGAACCAAACTTTTTTATGTTGCCCAAGGCTGGAGTGCAACGGGGTGATCTCAGCTCACCACAACTTCCGCCTTCCAAGTTCAAGCGATTCTCCTGCCTCGGTCTCCAGAGTAGCTAGGATTACAGGCACACGCCACCACGCCCGACTAATGTTCTATTTTTAGTAAAGACGGGGTTTCACCGTGTTGGTCAGGCTGGTCTCGAACTCCTGACCTCAGGTGATCCGCCCGCCTCGGCCTCCCCAGAGTGCTAGAACTACAGGCGTGAGCCACCGCGCCCGGCCAAGAACCAATGAACTCCCAACTATGCTTCCCTTGCTATGTGGAAATGGCTAGCCACCGCCGAGCAAACCCAGCCACGCATGGCTTGTGCCGCGCGGAGGGAGCAGGGGCAGAAGGACCCGCCGCACTCGGCGCCACCTGAAGACCAGGGCCGGCCCCAGCCCGGACCCCGGCAACCTCCGAGCGCCACCTCCGCACCGCTTTCCGCACCTGACGCGCTCGTGACGGCCGGAGAGGTGCAAAAGGGTGACGGAAAGCGTCCGATCCTCCCGGCACGCGAGACGGCTGCGGCCGGGTGGGCTCCGGGGGCGCGGTCCCGCCCGGGAAGCGGCAGCCGACGGCCGCGAGGCGCAGCAAGGGCCGGACGCCCGGGTGTTACGGGGCTCCGCGAAGGGGCTCCCGCGTCCCCGGCCCGGCCCGCGCCCCCGCTTCCCCGCACTCACGCGAGTGCTCCAGCTCGCGCGCTGCCTTGGCGGCGCGCTCCAGGCCGGTGGGGTCGAAGTTGCTCCATTTGTCCTTGGGCGCCTGCCGGTCTCCCGCGCCGCGGTCCCCGCCGCCCTCGGCCCCGGGCTGCGCGGGCGGCAAGGGCAGCGGCGGCCCCGCGCCTTCGCCTTTGGGGCCCTTGTTGATGCCGAAGAGCCAAGACATGACCCGCGCCGCCGCTCCCGCCGCCGGGACCCCAAGGCCAGCAGGACTCGCGCGCGGCGCGGAGCAGCTTCCACGTGCCGGGCGCCGGAGGCCGGAACTGCGCGGGCGCCGCACACACCCCTTCCGCCCGGCGCCGGAAGCGCGTAAGGGACACGCAGAGCGCGGCGCTCGGATTGGCCGCGGGGACCGTGACCCCAGGACTGGCCGAGCGTGCTCAGGGGCGGGAGTTGCGGGGGGCGGCAGCCGGGCGCCGGGGGGAACCGGCGGGGAGGGGCCGGGGGGATCTGAACTGGAGGGCGGGAACCGGGGAACGGGGGGAACCGGGGGACGGGGGGAACCGGGGGGCGGGGGGAACTGGGGGCGTGGGGGGCCTGAACGGGGGGGCGGGAGCCGGTGAGGGGCGAGGTGAAGCGTCTGGCTACGGGAGCGAGGCCGGGACAAAATTCCCGGGGCGTGCGCGAACCAGGGGCAGCGTCAGTTCCGCCGGGTGGGGAGCTGGCGGCGCCCCCGAGTTCCGGTCCGGGCGGCCCCCGAGTTCCGGTCCGGGCGGCCCCCGAGTTCCGGTCCGGGCGGCCCCCGAGTTCCGGTCCGGGCGGCCCCCGAGTTCCGGTCCGGGCGGCCCCCGAGTTCCGGTCCGGGCGGCCCCCGGTGGGTCCCGGAGGCGGGGTGCCGGCGCCCGGGGAGCCGAGGCGCCCCGGGGTCTCGGCGCCGGGAGCTCGCGGGAGGCGCCCGAGGAGAAGCTGGGCCTCCCGTCCCCGGTGGCTCCGACCCTCGCGGGCGGCACGGGGTGCCCGAGCGGCGCCGCCCGGAGCCCGCGGCCCACGCGCTCCCGGCGCCCGGCCCTTCCCGCCGCGGGACCGGTTGGCTTCGCAGAGTTCGGTGGCGGGACTTTTCCCGCTGGATTGGAAACGGTTTTAAGCCTGAATAACGTCGGATACAGGGAGCGCTGAACCGGCTTTCAAAGGACCGTGCGGCGGTGTGCGCAGCTCCGTGTCTCCGTTTTGAACGTCGGTTTCCTCGCGGTCCACGGCGCGGCCCCTCCCGCCGGTTCCCGGGGCTCCCACGCGCTCCGCCCCGGCTCGGCCTGGCCGCCCGTGTGACCCGAGTCACCTCCAGTTACCTGTTCCGCGTCCGTTTTTCCCGCCAAACCACTTCAGTCCCTGCACTTTGAGAGGCCGAGGCGGGTGGATCACCTGAGGTCGGGAGTTCTAGACCAGCCTGACCAACACGGAGAAACCGCGTCTCTCCTAAAAATACAAAAAATGAGCCCGGCGCGGTGGCGCGCGCCTGCGATCCCAGCTACTCGGGAGGCGGAGGCGGGAGAACCGCTTGAACCTGAGAGGCAGAGGTTGCCCTCCAGCCTGGGCGACAGAGCCAGACTCTCTCAAAAACAAATTTACATTCCAGTGCTGCTACTTTTGCGACACCGAAAATTGACATATAACAATAAAAATAGGGGGAAAAAAAAATCAAAATCCTAGAGTAATTCTGTGATTTTGTTTTCACCAGATGAAGAGAAAAAAAAACCAGGCCTGGGCCAGGCACTGTGGCTCACGGCTGTAATCTGTAATTCCAGCACTTTTGGAGGCTGACGTGGGCGGATCATGAGGTCAGGAGATCGAGACCAGCCTCGCTAACACGGTGAAACCCAGTCTCCACTAAAAATACAAAAAATTAGCCGGGCATGGTGGCAGGCACTTATAATCCTAGCCCCTCAGTGGGCTGAGGCAGGAGAATCACTTGAACCCGGGAGGCAGAGGTTGCAGTGAGCCTGAGATTGCCACGACACTCCAACCTGAGCAACAGAGTGAAACTCCATGTTTGGGAAAAAAAAAAAAAAAAAAGGCCGGGCGGGGTGGCTCAAGCCTGTAATCCCAGCACTTTGAGAGGCCGAGGCGGGTGGATCACGAGGTCGAGAGATCGAGACCGTCCTGGTCAACAAGGTGAAACCCCGTCTCTACTAAAAATACAAAAACTAGCTGGGCGTGGTGGCGCGTGCCTGTAATCCCAGCTACTCAGGAGGCTGAGGCAGGAGAATTGCCTGAACCCAGGAGGCGGAGGTTGCGGTGAGCCGATCGCGCCATTGCACTCCAGCCTGGGTAACGAGCGAAACTCCTCTCAAACAAAAAAAAAGAAAAGAAAACCAGAAAACGCCGGCCTGGCACAGTGGCTCACGTCTGTAATCCCAAAACCTTGAGAGACCGAGGTGGGTGGATCACCTGAGGTCAGGAGTTTGAGACCAGCCTGGCCAACATGGTGAAACCCCGTCTCTGCTAAAAATACAAAAATTAGCTGGGCGTGGTGTCGTGCGCCTGTAATCCCAGCTACTCCGGAGGCTGAGGCAGGAGAATTGCTTGAACCCTGAGGTGGAGGTTGCGGTGAGCCAGGATCATGCCACTGCTCTCCAGCCTGGGGGAGCAAGATGTTGCCAAAAAAAAAAAAAAGGGGGGCTGGGCACGGTGGCTCGCACCTGTAATCCCAACACTTTGGGAGGTCGGGGCAAGAGGATCTCTTGAGCCCAGGAGTTGGAGACCAGCCTGGGCAACAAAGAGAGACCCCTATCTCCACAAGAAAAAAAAAAATGAGAAAACCAAATGAGTTCCCCTGCAAAAGCCAGATGCCTCCCCCAACGTAGCCGTCATCAAGGTTTTGGTTTTATTTTATTTTATTTTGAGATGGAATCTCTAACTCTCTGCCAAGCTGGAGTGCAGTGGCACGATGGCTCACTGCAACCTCTGCCTCCCAGGTGCAAATGATCCTCCTGCCTCAGCCTCCGAAATAGCTGGGATTATAGGTGCTTGCCACCATGCCCAGCTAACTTCTCTGTTTTTTGTATTTTAGTCAAGGTGAGTCATGGTATTTGAGTCATGTTGAGTCATGTTGGTCAGGCTGGTCTCGAACTCCTGATGTCAGATGATCTACCCACCTCGGCCCCCCAAAGTGCTGAGATTACAGGTGTGAGCCACCTCGCCCGGCCAATTTCATTTATTTATTTAGAGATGGGGTCTAGCTCTGGAGGCTGGAGTGCAATGGTGCAGTCTCAGCTCACTGCAACCTCCATCTCCCATGCTCAGGTGATCCTCCTGCCTCATCCTCCAAGCCAAGAAGCTAGGACCACAGGCACGTGCCACCAGGCCCGGGTAATTTTCTTTCTTTCTTTCTTTTCTTTATTTTGAGACAGAATTTCACTCTTGTTTCCCAGGCTGGAGTGCAATGGCACAGTCTCGGCTCACAGCAACCTCTGCCTCCCGGGTTCAAGTCCTGCCTCTGCCTCCTGAGTGCCTGAAATTACAGGCACCTGCCACCATACTGGGCTAATTTTTATATTTTTAGTAGAGACAGGATTTTACCATGTTGGCCAGACTGGTCTCAAACTCCTGACCTCAAGGGTTCCACCAGCCCCAGCCTCCCAAAGTGCTGGGATTACAGGTGTGAGCAACGGCACCTGGCTTTTTCTTTTTTTTTTTTTTTAAGACAGAGTTTTGCTCTTGTTGCCCAGGTGGGAATGCAGTGTCTCGATCTTGGTTCACTGCAACCTCCGCTCTCTCCCATTCAAGGGATTTTGCCTCAGGCCACCACACCTGACTAATATTTTTAGTAGATGAAGTTTCACTCTTGTCACCTACGCTGGAGTGCAATGGCATGATCTTGGCTTACCACAACCTCCGCCTCCTAGGTTCAAGCGATTCTCCTGCCTCAGCCCCCCGAGTAGCTGGGACTACAGACATGCACCACCATATCCGGCTTTTCGGATTTTTAGTAGAGACCGGTTTTCTCCATGTTGGTCAGGGTGGTGTCTCCAACTCCCAACCTCAGGTGATCCACTGGCCTCAGCCTCCCGAAGTGCTGGGATTACAGCTGTTAGCCACTGCACCCAGCCCCATCATGGAGGTTTTTAGGGACTAGCTGCAAAGCATCCCTGATGGACCTGGATGGATAAAGAAGAGGAAAGGGGTGGCCGGGTGCGGTGGCTCACATCTGTAACCCCAGCACTTTGGGAGACCAAGGTGGGCGAATCATGAGGTCAGGAGTTCGAGACCAGCCTGGCCAACATAGTGAAATATCTACTAAAAATACAAAAAATTAGCCAGGCATGGCGGTGGGCACCTGCAATCCCAGCTACGTGGGAGGTTGAGGCAGGAGAATTGCTTGAATCTGGGAGGCTGACTTTGCAGTGAGCTGAGATCGCACCATTGCACTCCAGCCTGGGCCACAGTGCGAGACTCCATCTCAAAAAATAATAATAATAAATCGGGGGGTAAGAGACTGAGATCCTTTTTCTCCATAAACAGCCCTGGGCCGGCCTCCAGCCTCCTTCCCTGCAGGCATTGAGCAAGCCTGTGTCTTTTCTGAATCTGTATTTTTTATGGCTGCATAGTATTCCATGGTGTATATGTGCCACATTTGAATCTCTGTGTTTTAATAGCCAGTTTCATTTAACTTGGCTTAATTTTATTTATTTATTTTGAGATGCAGTCTTTTTTTTTTTTTTTTTTTTGAGACGGAGTTCCGCTCTTGTTACCCAGGCTGGAGTGCAATGGTGCGATCTCGGCTCACCGCAACCTCCGCCTCCTGGGTTCAGGCAATTCTCCTGCCTCAGCCTCCTGAGTAGCTGGGATTACAGGCACGCGCCACCATGCCCAGCTAATTTTTTGTATTTTTAGTAGAGACGGGGTTTCACCATGTTGACCAGGATGGTCTCGATCTCTCGACCTCGTGATCCGCCCGCCTCGGCCTCCCAAAGTGCTGGGTTACAGGCTTGAGCCACCGCGCCCGGCCGGAGATGCAGTCTTGCTCTGTCGCCCAGGCTAGAGTACAGTAGCATGATCTCGGTTCACCGCAACCTCCGCCTCCTCAGTTCAAGCGATTCTCCTGCCTCAGCCTCCCAAGTAGCTGGGATTACAGGCGCCTGCCACCATACCTGGCTAATTTTTTTTTTTTTTTTTTTTTTTTTTTGAGACGGAGTTTCGCTCTTGTTACCCAGGCTGGAGTGCAATAGCACGATCTCGGTTCACCGCAACCTCCGCCTCCTGGGTTCAGGCAATTCTCCTGCCTCAGCCTCCTGAGTAGCTGGGATTACAGGCACGCGCCACCATGCCCAGCTAATTTTTTGTATTTTTAGTAGAGACGGGGTTTCACCTTGTTGACCAGGATGGTGTCCATCTCTTGACCTCGTGATCCACCGGCCTCGGCCTCCCAAAGCGCTGGGATTACAGGCGTGAGCCACCGCGCCCAGCCGTTCTTTGTATTTTTAGTAGAGACAGAGTTTCACCATGTTAGCCAGGATGGTCTTGATCTCCTGACCTTCTGATTCGCGTGCCTCAGCCTCCTAAAATGCTGCGATTACAGGTGTCAACTGCCATGCCCAGCCTAACTTGGCTTAATTTTAAAAACAAAGTATTGATTGCTGGTTTAAGATTTATGCAATTCCGCCGGGCGCGGTGGCTCAAGCCTGTAATCCCAGCACTTTGGGAGGCTGAGGCGGGTGGATCACAAGGTCAAGATATCAAGACCATCCTGGTCAACATGGTGAAACCCCGTCTCTACTAAAAATACAAAAAAAATTAGCTGGGCATGGTGGTGCGTGCCTGTAATCCCAGCTACTCAGGAGGCTGAGGCAGGAGAATTGCCTGAACCCAGGAGGCGGAGGTTGCGGTGAGCCGGGATCGTGCCATTGCACTCCAGCCTGGGTAACAAGGGCGAAACTCCGTCTCAAAAAAAAAAAAAAAAAAAAAAAAAAGATTTATGCAATTCCTTTAAGGAGGAATTGAGGCCCTGGCTTGGTAGCTCATGCCTGTAGAGACAGGAGGATCTTGAGGCCAGGAGTTTGAGGCCAGCCTGGGCAACAGAGCAAAGTTCAGTCTCTACAACAAATTTTTTTTTTTTTTTTTTTTTTTTTGAGATGGAGTTTCGCCCTTTTTACCCAGGCTGGGGTGCAATGGCGCGATCTCGGCTCACCGCAACCTCCGCCTCCTGGGCTCAGGCAATTCTCCTGCCTCAGCCTCCTGAGTAGCTGGGATTACAGGCACGTGCCACCATGCCCAGCTAATTTTTTGCACTTTTAGTAGAGACGGGGTTTCACCATGTTGACCAGGATGGTCTCGATCTCTTGACCTCGTGATCCACCCGCCTCGGCCTCCCAAAGTGCTGGGATTACAGGCTTGAGCCACCGCGCCCGGCCAACAAATTTTTTTTTTCTGAGACAGAGTCTCACTCTATTGCCCCGGCTGAAGTGTAGTGGTGTGATCTCAGCTCACTGCAACCTCCGCCTCCTGTGTTCAAGCAATTTTCCTGCCTTAGTCTCCTGAGTAGCTGAGACTACAGGTGCACACCGCCACGCCCAGCTAATTTGTTTTTTGTATTTTAGTAGAGATGGTTTTTTGCGTGTTGCACAGGCTGGTCAGGAACTCCTGAGCTCAGGCAATCCGCCCACCTCAGCCTCCCAAAGTGCTGGAATAACAGGCATGAACCACCACGCCTGGTCTACAACTAATTTTTTAAATTAGTTGGGCATGGTGGTGCATGCCTCTGGGCTAATTAGGGCCCTGTAGGGTACGGCTACTGGACAGGCTGACGCAGAAGGGTCACATGAGCCTGGGAGGCCAAGTCTGCAGTGAGCTATTATCACACCACTGCACGTCAGCCTGGGCTCAGAGTAAGAACCTGCCTCTAAAAGGAAAAAGAGACACAGAGAGAGGAGAGGTGAAGTGCCTCCCTCCAGGCGCGGCAGGTCCCAGGGGGCGACTCGCGGTGGAGCTGAATGCCAAGGGTGCTCTTCTGTTTGCTCCTTAAACCAACACCCCACACCCTTCCTAAGGACAGGAAGTTAAGAAAGCATTTGACATTCACCTCACAGGTATGAGGTTCTGTGCGCTGTCTCGCTGATGGGATTCCCCCACCCACCCCAGCACCCAGCCCTGCCCGGAAAGCAAAGTTTTCCTGTCCTGGAGAGTCTTCCGGCATTGAAGACCTGGAGGCATGACCGTGCAATCCAAGATGCAGGTGGAAAACCTGGCCTCCAGCCCGACCTCGAGCCAAGACCGCGATGCAGCTGCCGGAAGCCACGGCCAGCAGGAACAGGGATTGGAGTCCCAGAGCAGCCCCACCCGGGCAGTGGGTAAAGCACTCTGCTCCCAGAATCCAGGCGGTGCATGGGTTTCTGAGCTCTCTGCATCTGACCAAACCTCTGGGGACAGGGAGCCGCATGGTATGCCAGGACAGTGGCCTCCCAGTGTGGCCTCTGGCCCCCAGTGACCCTGCCCCAGGGCTTCCCAGGACCCAGGCTGTAGTAGCCGGCTGTGTGTCTTCCACGGACAATGCCCGTGCAGAAGCGTGCCCTCTTACACCTGAGAACTCACTGCTAGCCCCCCACATCACTCTGCAGTCTCATTCTTCCCAGGCGGCCCGGCCTTCAGGAGGGAGGGGCTGGTCCCATTCCCATTCTTTCTCTCCAGCTTCCAAAAGGACCAGCAAGTTCTGGTCTCAGCCTGAGCCAGCATGGACTCCTTCCCCACTGGGCAGGCCCTGGCACAGCCACAAGAAAAGCTCCCAGCATGGCCCTCCTGAGCCACGGTGCCCAGCGTAGGGCCCTGGGCTGCTGGTCTCTCGCCAGCACCCACCAAAAGCAGGGCTCCCTGAAACCCGTCACCCCTGCCAGGGCTCCCCAGAGTGCACTGATTCATGAGAGGCATACCAAAGCAGCAGGGCGGCCAGGTGCTGTGGCCCCCGTCTGCACTCCCAGCACTGCGGGAGGCCAGGGCAAGAGAATCATTTGAGGTCAGGAGTTCGAGAGCAGCCTGGGTAACACAGCAACACCCCGATCCCTAAAAATAAATTTGCCAGGTGTGGTATCTTACCCCTGGGGTCTGAGTGCAGGTTTCTGGGAGCTGGGGTGTCCAAGAGTGGGCCACACTGCTGGGACCCACCCAGGGAAGCATGCTGCCTCCCTGTTTCCATAGTGACCATAATAAACCAAGTCCAATTCCCAGAGCACAGCCCACATGACGGCCTTCTGCCGGGGAGGGGACAGTTCAGGAAGATCAGCTCCAGCTCCAGTGCACTAGCTATGTGTCTCCTGTTTGTTTGTATTTTTTTGAGACGGAATTTCGTTTTTGTTGCCCAGGCTGGAGTGCAATGGCACTATCTCGGCTCTCCGCAACCTCCGCCTCCTGAGTTACAGCGATTCTCCTGTCTCAGCCTCCCGAGTGTCTGGGATTACAGGTGCCGCCACCACGGCCAGCTGATTTTGTATTTTTAGTAGAGAGGGGGTTTCTCCATGTTGGTCAGCTGGTCTCGAACTCCTGACTTCAGGTGATCCTCCTGCCTCAGCCTCCCAAAGTGCTGGGATTATAGGCGTGAGCCACCGCACTTGGACCCCCAGATTCAAAGACTGTAAAATGCCTGGGGCTACATAACGGGCAGCACTTCTCAGACAAGGGCTTCTGGAAGGGGCATTCCTTGGCATGGAGGTGGAGGTGGCAGTGCCTTTTCACCCTCCCCGTGAGGTCTTGTGCTGTGCTGGGCCTTGGTGTCCAGAGCCTCTGCCAGCTGGGTATGAGGGAGCAGGGTTGTGGCCGGCCCCCTCCCCCGCCGGCTCTGCCCTTGGGATTGAGGAGGTGGAGCTTGTCACGTGAGTCTGACTGTCAGGAACCAGCCCCTAGTGTTCCCCAGCCACCCGCAGGGCGCTCTGTGAGCTGGGCCTGGGCTCAGAGTGCAAGGGGGCATCTCCTCTCGGGTAACCGTGGGCTCAGATCTGCCATTACCCTGGAGAACATGCAGGAGATTCTACCCCTCCAGAGGAGGTGGGGCCGAGTCCCGGGCCTGCAACCCTGGCCACCTACTGACCAGCAGTGCAGTTGTGAGCAGCAACACACACAGCCCACGGGTCCCGCTCAGGCCTCCGTGGCCTGACGTGGGGGCTGAGGGAGCTCAGGAGAACCCAATGCCCAGTCAGCAGAGTTCCCCGACACACACCCAATGCACACACAGGCAGGGGAGCATCCTATGACTCGGGCATCATCACACACGAGGGCAAACCCTGGGTGGTGAGCCTGATGCCAGCTGGCCCTACAGGAATGGTGACCACACCCAGCCAGTGGGCAGCGCAGACTGGGGTGTCTGGTGGGGCTACGGCAGGCGTCCCCAAACTACAGCCCGCGGGCCGCATGCGGCCCCCTGAGGCCATTTATCCAGCCCCCCGCCGCACTTCAGGAAGGGGCACCTCTTTCACTGGTGGTCAGTGAGAGGAGCACAGTATGTGGCGGCCCTCCAGCGGTCTGAGGGACAGCGAACTGGCCCCGTGTGAAAAGTTTGGGGATGCACAGAGCCGGGTTCTGAGTATGTGGTGCCAAGGCCAGATGTCCTGAAGGCGGCCCCTGGCACAACGCCCACCAGGCCTGAGAGAGGGACTGAGACCACCTCAATGCTGCAGTTCCTGGGGTCAGGTGGAGTCCACGTGGGGAAAGGGGCAGGGGAGGCCACGCGGTGCAGGGTGCGGCTTTGCCAGCAGAGGGAGCCCTCGTGGGGCTGGGCCCAGGCTGTGGGTGGCCGCAGGGGCTGCGGCGCCAACGTCCCGCAGAGAGGGCCCAGCCCCGTCCTCTGCATTCTCGCCACCTGCCCCAGGCCAAGCCCCACAGGACGGGGCCCAGGCTCTGTGAATAGAAGGTGCACAGGGGGACCAAGGAGGCCTGGCCCGGGGCGGGGGGGGGGAGACGGCTCCACCTCCTCTCCCCAGACACCCCAAGAGGCGGAGACCTTCACCCGCTGTCCTGCCCATGGCCGGCGTGTTTGTGGAGGATTAAAGCAACCTAACGAGACTGCAGGCTGGGTGTACATCTGATTTACTGGATGGTAAAGTCTGGGACGTTAGTGGGGAAGAGGCGAGGTGAGCGTTGCATGATGCCGCGGTCCTGGGGGTGGGGCAGGGGGGCTGCACCTAGCCAGGCACCCCCACCCTGGACGATTCACCCTCGGGCCCCAGGGCAGTGAGTATGACGTCTCACAGCCAAAAGAGGCCACTGGGCCCTCCACGAATGGTGAGACCTCAGCTCCCTGGACAGCATCCTCTCTGCAGCCCCTCCAGGGAAGGCTTCCAGCAGGGGTGGGGGCGGCGCCTCCTGTCCGCACGGTCCTGAATGCCCGGCTCTGCCCCATTCCTGTGCTTCCCAGTGGCTGCTAGCTGGACCCAGCGGGCGTCCTGGGAATGAAGGCAGGGCCGCAGTCCCCAGCAGGCACTGCCCTCCGGCCCGCTGAGCATGCTGGCCACACCCTCAGCGTCCCGGTGCTCCTACCTGCCCTTCCTTCTCTGCAGAAGCCTTTGGGGACCTGACCTGGGCCAGCTTCTGCCGTGATTCTCCTCCACCTTTTACCAACACCCAGGGCCCAAGCTGCCTTCCCCCAGGCCAGCCCTGCCACCTGGGGCCGGGCCTACATCACACGTGGGAGTCTGACTGGGCTCCTCCCTGGGCAGTCCTATCTCTGATGTTCTCAACACCACTCACGGGTCCACACCACGCTGGACTCTGGGCGGGGATGGGCCGGAGCTGCTGCGGGGTCCCTCCAGGCGAGGCCCGAGCCCCGCAGGGCAGGCGCCAGGCGAGGAGAGAGAGGGCCGGGGTCGCGCGGAGTCCGCGTGGGGAAAGGCCGGGCCTGCACCCGTCGTCTCCGGGCAAAACCTCGACGCTGGGCGCCTCCGCACTGGGTTCGGGACACAGGGGCCCTCAGGTCGGCGCCGGCGCACTAGGCGGGGCTGGCACGCCGGCTCACGGCTCACGGCTCGCAGCGCCCAGCGTGGGGGCGCGGGGCACGGGGCGTGGGCGCGGGCGCGGGCCGTCGGGCGTGCAGGCCTTGGCCGACAGCGCGCTCTCGCGGCCCGAGCGGAAGGCGGCGGTCACGGTCACCAGGTAGGCGGTGCCCGGCGCCAGGCCCTGCAGCGTGGTGCAGTTGCGGCCCGCGGGCACCTCCACGCGCTGCGCCGCGCCGCCCTCCAGCGGCCCGAACTGCACGTGGTAGCCGAGCGCGGCGGCCGCGCCCAGCGCCGGGGCCCAGCTCACGCGGAGGCTGCGCGGCCGCGCGTGGGAGATGACGATGCGCTCCGGGCCGGCCTCCTCCGGGGCGGGGAGGGCCGCGGGCTGGGTGGGGGCCGGCGCCGCCCCCGACCCCGGACCCCCGACCCTCGGCCCCGCCTCACCGGGCCGCGTGCGCACTCGCAGGTGCTGGGGCCTCAGGAGGTGCACGTTGGACTCGGGCACCAGCGCCGCATCGTAGTCCGTGTCCGGGTCGAGGCCGGCCCAGGTCCAGTCCGTGGCGTTCCCTGGCAGCTGCTGGCGTCTCGCGGCCCCCGGCTGGGCACTGGGCACCAGCTCCAGCACGTAGTAGCCAGCGTCTGCGGTCAGCAGGGGTGGCCAGGCCAGGCGGAAGCCGCTGGACGTGATCTCCGTGGCATGGAGCTGCTGCGGCCGCATCGCGTCTGTGGGTGGTGCCGGGGGTCAGGGGACAGGGGTCAGTCAGTTCCTCCTCCGCACCTGGAGGGCGGCCCTGGCTGATGGGGAAGTTCTGGAGACCGGAGGCCCCACTAGGAAAGGTGGGGCCCCTCGTCCAGTGCTGTAGATTCTCAGAATGTGCCTTGGCCGGGGGAGGACGGAGGAAGGGGTGTGGCCCCTCAGGCCCGGTCAGAAGCGCCCCTGCTTCCCTCAGCCCCAAACCCAGCCCTTTGTGGACAGGTGCAGTGGCCAGATCAGTGCCCAGGACAAAGGTCCTCACGGATGGCAGGGTCAACGGTGGTGCCTGAGAGCAGAGGACCAGCCCCAGCCCAAGCGGCCAGGCCCGGTGAGAGCTCAGCCCAGCTCCCTGAGCTGCAGGCCCTGAGGTTCTGGAGGCGCTGTCTGCCCCGGGGCCTCCAGGAGAGTGTGGGGTGGGGTACTCCGGAGGGAGACTCCCGGGCGCGGGACGCTAAGCCCCCCATGACCCCTGAGTGACCCTGCTGTGGCGAGGCTCATCCATGTCTGCGCTGGGTCAGTCATCGGGATCCTCCTTCTTTGGCGCTGAGTGCCTGGCCCACTTTCCTCCCATCACCCACCCTCAGACCAGGTCCCTTTTCCAGGAGCCCCACCTGCTGCCTGGCGCCTCTGCACTGCAGCCTCTGGCTTTTCCTGCCCTGCTGCTGAAGGCACCCTTTCGTCCTGGTTCGCACCAGGCCCAGCCGCACTGGGTGACCCGGGGGCCACTAGGGGTCAGACGTCCCTGGGGAAGCCTTGGGGAGGGCCCTCCACCTCTCTCCAGCCCACAATCCCACCCCTTCCGGCTCTGGGTGGATGATTAACCCACAGGCGGAGACTTGGTGAGAACCCGGGTTAGTGGCCTGTCGGTGGCTACAGCCGGCCGAGGGGGGCACCAGGTTCTTCCTCTCCAGCCCGCCTCCTTCAGGGCTGCGCTGGGGCAGGGAGGTCCAGAAAAAAGCCAATGGAGCTGCTCAGCTCCTGCCTCAGGCCTTCCCTGGTGTGGCTTCTCAGGAAGTCCGCATGGTGGGCCTGCAGTCCAAAGCAGCTCAAAGCCCTCAGTGGCTGTCCCCACCCCGGAGAGCTGCCCTGTGCTCTGGGGGCAGTGTCTAACCGTCCTGGCTCTCCCTGCTCCGGATGCGCTGGACATGCGCAGGAGCACGTGTTCCCCATTTGCAGAGTTCCCAGCCTGGGAGCTTCTTCATGGGGCCTCCAGGTCGGGGCTGGACCGGTCAGCAGGGAGCTATGCCTCAAGGTGGCGACTCCAGCCTGCCCCCGTCTCAGAAGGGCGCCCGGGTCACCCAGTGGAGAGCATGCACAGAGAAGCTGCTCGCTCAGCTCTGCGTCCCAGAGGCACCACAGCCCCGAGGCCCTGGCCGCTGCTCTGCAGACCAGAGATTTTCCCCAAGTCTCAACCCAGCCTCTCCTCCTGTGGCTCCCAGCTAGGGCCCCCTGGACCCTGCCTCCTCCCGCTTACCGAGAATAGAGTCCCTCAGCTCTTGGAGGATGATGTGCAGGTCATCCACGTCCACAAAGTGGAGATGCTTCTCAGCAGGGGCCGAGGCAGCGGCCGACAGCTCCAGGAAGTTGCCTCGGCCGGTGCTGACTATGAACACGGTGACGCCCAGGTCCTTGAGCTCCTGCATGGGGGGCCCCACAAGGTCGCTGGAGCCGCCATCGGTCACCCACACCAGCACCTTGGGCACCCCTGGCCGGGCACCTGCTGCTTCAGCAAACAGCTGTTCCTTGGCATATGCCAGTGCCAGGCCAGTGTGGGTGTCGCCCATGCGCTGGGCCGAGGCGAGCACCGCATCCTGGGCAGCCTTGCCTGAGCTGTGCTGGCCGAAGGAGAACTCAGTGTACGGCCGGCTGCCCACATGCACCAGGCTGGCACGCAGGGCCCCGGTGTCCAGGGGCAGAGGAGCCACCAGCTGCCCCACAAACTCCCGAACCCGGGAGAACTCATAGTGAGACACACTGGCAGAGCTGTCCAGCAGGAACATCAGGTCTCCTCCGGGGGCTGATGCTGGGGGACCTGGGGAAAAGGAGTGCCCAGCCTCAGGTGTGGGCTCCCCAGACAGACCCATGCCAAGGCAGAGTCCCCCAGGGCCTCAGCTTTCCTTAAGTGAGTTCTTGCCCTCACCCACAGGTCCCAGGTTGGGGGAAATAGGAACTCTGAGCCAAGCAAGAGGCCTGTGCTTTTGGGGGTTTCACTCTACACACTGGCCATGGGGCTTAGGGCTCTCTCTGGGCTGGTGTCTGATCTGTGAGACAGTGACTCCCGGCTCCAAGCCCCCACACCTTCCCATTCCTCACACCCTGCAAGCAGGTGGTGACACCGGGCCTGGACTCAGGACTGGCCTGGGTGGCAGCGCTGCTCCCTCTGGGCATGGCTTTCAGAGGAGCGGCCTCAGGCTGGAGTTCAGCCACTGCTCAGCATCCAGGCAAAGCATGCTGGGCAGCAGGGGAGGGTATTGGAGGCTGAGCAATGAGCACCCTGGGATGGCCAGGCTGGAGCCCAGACCCCACCTAACAAATGGTGCCCCCTCCCCTGGCCTCCATCCTCCAGCCCATCTGGATTCAAGACAGCAAGATACACCCACCAGCAGCCCGAAAGCATGACCAAGCCCTTGCAGGCTTCCCCCTTCTTCCTGGCACCCCTGGTGTGGGGGCTGATGCCCTCCCAACCCCCTCCCCATGGAGCCAGGGCACCAGCGTGCCTCCATTCTAGACTGGGCTTTGCGGTTTTCCCCAGTGCATAGGGCGACTCCAACCTCCCTACCATCCCTTCACTAAGGATCCTCTCAAGGGTAGGGAAACTGAGGCAGGGGAGCCCCCCTGGACGGACATCATCTCCCTCTTCCCGGCCAGGCCCGCGATCCCGCAGGTACGCGGGCCAGGCCGGCCCCTACGCCCCAGCGCTCACGGGCGGTGTCGCCCGGAGCACCTGGGCCGCCCGCCGCAGGTGAGCAGGACGCTCCGCCCGCGCCCCGGCCCGGCTCCCGCAGCCTCCCCGCCTGCCCGCCCGCCCGCCCGCAGCGGGGACAGCGGCGGCGCGGAGCGGGCACCAGGAGCCCCCGCCCCGGCCCGTCCGCGCGCCCTCCGCACTCACCGCGCTCCGCGCCGCTCCGCGCCAGCGCCAGCCGCAAGCTCAGGGCCAGGCCGAGCGCCGTCCAGGGGAGCATCGCGCGCGAGGGACGGGGCGCGCTCGGCAGCTCGCTCGCTCGGGGCTGCAGGGCGCGTCGCGGCGCGGACCAGGCCGGCCCCGCCCCCGGAAGGCCCCGCCCCGAGCGGCCACGCCCACGCCGAGGCCACGCCCACGCCCCCCGGCGCGAGCGTAGGGCCACGTGCACGGAGTCCGGAGAAGCGCGCGCGAGCGGATCCCGACACGCAGGGACACGCACCACCAGTCGAGATTCGACCGAGGCACGCACGCGTGGGCACGCACAGACCCTCCAGTCTCCCTCTTCCTGGCCAAGGCTGTGGGCCCCGCTCTCTCCACTCCCTGCGACCCCCCAGCCAGGGGAGCCTAGCAGGGAGGTCCCAAGCTAGGCCCTCCCCATGCCCGCCACTGCCGTGACTCTGGGTGCTGGGGTCCCTGCAGTCAGGCCCAAGAGAACCCCAGGAGCTGATAGTGGCACCAAAAAAACATGTTCCCGCTACAAGGCCCAGGCCCTGGCTTCATCTTGGCCACAGGGTTGGGAGGGGGGTAGGTATCTCAGGGACTGGGACGTGTGTCCCAGGGACTGACCAGCAGGGATTGGAAAGGGCCTTGGGCTGGAACTTAGAAGGACGCAGTGCCTTGGAGGGGGACAGAAGAAGCTCACCCCACCTGGGCTTCTTGGAGGAAGAAGCATGGGGGTGGAGATGGTTGGTTCAGGCCCTGTGCAGTGTGACCACCCTGGCTGGGCCTGGGACCCATATGCCCTACCCAACAAGGGGCCCAGACCCTGGACCCAGGGCACATCCCAGCAGGACTGCAGGGACCCACTGGTGAGCCAGGAGCTCTTGGGTGTCGGGGTCTTGGCGAGGCCCAGACTAGAAGTGGCTGGCTGCAGGGGGCGTACTGAGGGACAGTGGCCCCCAGGGCAGATTTGCCCTGCTCAGGTGGGACTGGGCTGGTGGTGTCCCTTGCACAGGAGCTGAGGCCTAGGAGAACCCCACCCTGACCCTCCCAAGAAGCAAAGCCTTCCCTCCCTCAGTGTAGCCATGGCCCTCTCCCGGGGCCTCCTCGGCTCAGAGCTGGGGGCAGGGGACATGGGGGGTGTCTGCCAGGATGTCCCCTCCCTCCCCACCCTCTCCTGGAGGATGCTGCAGGAGAGCGGATGGGGCTCCTCGGCCTTCCTTCCTGCTTTTCAGGCAGGTGAGACACCCCTGGGCATGCGGCCGGCCAGAGCTCTACTTTGCCTAAAAAAGGAAGCAGCAGGCTGAGGAGCTGAGTCTGAGGAGCTGGCGGCAGGAACAAGGGAGAGCTGTGTCCCTGCCGGCGCCCCCCGCCCCCCCTGCCGGGGATCTTGGCAGTAGAGGTGCTGGCTGAGCTCCACAGACCTCAGGCCTTGGCAGGGACCAGAAACTGCCTGGTGCTTCCGCCTGGGCCCAGAGGGGGGACTTTGGGTTCCCAGAGTGCGAGTTGTGCCACTCCGAAGGGCCTCGCCAGGCCCCAGCCCCCAGTCCACGGGGCTGCTCTGGAGATGACACTCAAGGCTGCGGCAGCGGGAGGACGTGGGGTCTGACCAGGAGCCAGCGGCGGGCCCAGCGGAGGCACACCCGGGTGGTCAGGCAGCAGCTGGCCACCGCCGTCCCCCACTCTGGGTAGACACGGCCAGGGGCCCACTGTCCCCCACCCGTGCCCAGCAGTCACACCTCGGCCTGCCCTGCTGGGCTGAGAGGGAAGGTTTCCTCACTTCTGGAAAAAGTGAGCGGGTCTTCTTGGCTGTGACTCAGGCCCTCAAGGAAGCTGCGGCCCTCCGCCCTCCGGCTCACCATCAGCGGGAGAAGGCGCAGGAGGCCTGGCCTCCACCCAGCCTGCGCCACGCTAAGCCACCTGCCCTGCTCCCAGCCCTGCCTGGAGGTCCTCTTGCTGGGGACCCTCCCCATCAGCTCTGCCCGGTGCTCCGCTCTGCCATGGCACTCAGCCATCAGCACTCATTCCCACGTCCCCCTCCCCACCCGCTGACTCCACCCCAGAGGAGTGATGTGGACAGACAGAGGGTCCCAGGGAGCATGGGGTCAGCCAGAGGTGCAGTGTCAGGGCCCCAGCCGGACTTGAGGCAGACAGCGGAGGAAGCACAAATATAACAGCCGGAAGCCTCCACTCTCCAGGGAGAAGGGCCCGGAGAAAGACACGCAGAGGCAAGGGCAGGTCAGGCCAGATCACGGTGGGTCCTGGCCCCGGGCCCTCTGCCCCCCGCAGGCACAGCCCCGGTCTGATCCTGGCGGCCTGGGGCCCCACGAGTGGAGAGCGGCCTGGAGCGGCTGTAGCTGCCCTGCCCCCACGGCCTTGGCCTGGGCTGTGGGAGTCCCTCTGCCTCACTTCCTGGAGCCGGCGGGGGCTGCTGGTAGGTCTGCAGGCAGGTGGAGGGGGTTCCGGGAAGCTGGGACGCTGCTCTCACCCGGGCGCCGCCCCTGCCCCCCCACCCGCCTTTGGGAACGCTCCCTCCTCCGCACAGCGCAGCTTCTGCAGAAGGGCCTTTTGTCCTCAGCTGGCTGTGGTCATGTTTGACCCCAGGGAAAAGGGCAGCTCCTGGGGCCTCTGACCCCACCCCTGACCCAAGCCGAGGGCAGAACGCCCAGTCCCACGGCCAGGGCCTTTTGTGGCTGCTTTTTGTGTATTTCACACACGTGTTCATGCACACCCGGGAACAGAGACGGAAGGGGCTGTGAGGGCGTCAGTGCGGGCCTGAGGCACAGCTCCGGGTGGGCCTGAGCCCCTGGACAGTAAGGGGGGCAGAGTGGGGGTCGCCAAGAGAGCAGGGCCCACCCAGCTCCTAGACCCAACTGCTCAGTGGGGTCAAGGACATGCCGGGGCCTGAGGGCAGGTCAATGGGGCCTGGGGGGTTTGCTTTTCACTCCCCAGGAGCCCAGGCCTGCCCCTCTGGCCCCAGAGTTGACCCCTAGTCTGTCCCCCATGCCAGTGGCAGCTGGGGTGGCAGACACCTGGTGGATAACAGCCTGGGCAGGGGGCGGGAGCCTCCGCAATCTGCGTCTGTCCATTCTTACGTCATCTGTGTGCTAGGCACGGCCGCACCCCAGCCTCAACGCTGGGGACACGTAGGCGCCGGGCCAGCACTGCCAGGCTGGGAGGGGTGGGCCGTGCCCACGCGGAAAGATGCCGTCTACTTGTTTCCCTGTGAGAACAGGGGGTCACTGGGGACACGCACACAGGGGTACTCGAGAAAGAGCCTTCCAGGCAGAGGGAAGGAACAGCAGGGCCTGATGGCCCAGGGTTTCCAGCCTGTGTGGCCGCCTGTCCCAACAGCAGAGCCCCTTCCTGGCGTGGGCCCCCTCCCTTTGCCTCTTCTGGGACACCCCTCCCTGAAAGGGAGAGGAGGACAACACGATGTCCCCGCCCCAGACAGGTCCAGACAGGCTCAGGCCGCAGCCCTGGGCAGACCCGAAACTCCCAGGGGCCTGGACCCGGTTGGGGAGGAGGCAGCAGGGAGGGACTGACCTCTGGCCACACACCACGGGGGACTCCCCAGAGGCGGCTAGGGTGGGGCCGGGAGAAGGGGCCTTAGTCCTCAGAACAGCCTACCCACCCCGGGGAGTTCCTGCCCTGAAGCCTGCCCAGCTTCTAGGCCTGGGGGCGGGGGCGGGCCAGCACAGGCTGGAGGGACAGAGACAGCCACATCTGTGGGGCCCCAGCTGCTCAGTCTGTGGACGTGTTTGCCAACAACTGCTCCCAGGAAACGTTTTGCGAATCGGGAAACGTCAAGGCAAGGTGGGAAGCTGGCTGCATCCGGTGGGGTCAGGTCCTTACTGCCTCCCTGCCCCAGCTGAGGCATGATGGGGACGCAGATGGGACACGCATAGCGACGGGCACACACACGTACACACACGCACACACATGCACAAATGCACACACACGAACATGCCAGGCTCCCTCTTGGGCAGGGCAGAGGCCCCAGCCACTGGGAAGGAACACCAGGCAGAGGTCCGCACAGCCCCCTGCAGCTGGCTCCTCCACCCAAGGAGTTCGTGCCCCCAGGCCAGTGGAGAGCTGCAGCAGAAACACCAGGAGAGGGAGGCCGCTGCTGCCCTCAGGTGGGGGGAGAGGCACCCTCAGGGTGGGGGCGGGCCTGGGAACCCAGGGCCCTGAAGCAAGGTTGGGGGTGGTTTCCATCATGGGCACCATGCTGGGCAAAATTTGGGCGAGATTTGTGAGGTCTAGGTGGGGTCCTGCCAGACAGGGCTAGAAGGGCTGGGCGAAGGCCGTCTGTACGCCTTGGGCCTTGAGGAGGGGAGTCTTGGAAGACGGCCCCGCACCCCCTCAGTTCTTGCCCCTCCTGGCTTCCCAGATGATGGCCAATAAGGTAGCCGCTTAGGACCCACCAAAGAGGCCAGGCAAGGACAGTGCCAGGAAGAACCAGTGGCCTCCCGCCAGCTGCCAGGGCCGGGCCTGCTTCTGTCCTGGGGGTGGGGCCCCGGCCCAGCAGGCACCCGGGCTCTGGCCTTCCTGCACCACCCCTTCCACGCGTGTCTTCTGCAGCCAGGCCTCTGCTCTCCAGTGCACGTTCCAACACCCCTCTTTGAACCACCCACAGCCCTCGAAGGTGTTCCTTTGTGAGCTGGTCGTGCAGCTGGGGCTGAGGCCAGCATCGCTGCTCTGTGCCCTCAGCCTCCCTGGTGGTGCGGGGCCTCAGAGTGGGCCTGGGAAGCTGGATACACCTTTGGAAAGAGGCGCCTGAGGCAGCTGTGAAGGACAGAAGCCCCTGCCCAGCAGCCAAGGGAGCCGGCCTCTCGTTCAGCCTCCCCACCCCCACCGGGCCCAGCTGTTGTTTTCACGGCTCTGGGGCCAGGCGGATCCTCTGCCAGGAGCTTCCCTGGAGAGCTCTCATCTGCAATCCCCGGTGGCAGGAGGGGAAGGAAGGTGGCGGCGGCCCCGCCCAGGGGAAGCCATCCTGGCAGCTTGGCCACTGGCCCGGCTCCTGTCTGACCAGGAAAGGCATCAAAGCTGGACTCCGATGGAGGCTGGAAAACCCCGGGGCTTCTGCTGGACCTGACCCAGCCACACACCAGGCTCTGCTCAAGGCCAGGGAGTGAGCCTCGACCCTGGCCCCAGACGGAGCCCAGACCTTGCTGTTCACAGGCTGAGATCCCTTAAAAGGCCTTCCAGCTACGCCCAACTTCTGGATAAATGACTATGAGCACACATTTTTTTTTTTTTTTTTTTTTTTTTTGAGACGGAGTTTCGCTCTTGTTACCCAGGCTGGAGTGCAATGGCGTGATCTCGGCTCACCGCAACCTCCGCCTCCTGGGTTCAGGCAATTCTCCTGCCTCAGCCTCCCGAGTAGCTGGGATTACAGGCACGCGCTACCATGCCCAGCTAATGTTTTGTATTTTTAGTAGAGACGGGGTTTCACCATGTTGACCAGGATGGTCTCGATCTCTTGACCTCGTGATCCACCCGCCTCCGCCTCCCAAAGTGCTGGGATTACAGGCTTGAGCCACCGCGCCCGGCCAAGCACACATTTTTAATAGACTGCTGGGCTTCCAAGAAAGTCAGTATCTCCAAGGCTCCCCTCAAAATTAAACAGCAAAAATAAATAAGGCCCAGAGGGGTGGCTCATGCCTGTATTTCCAACACTTCAGAAGTCTGAGGCGAGAGGCCTGCTTGCACCCAGGAGTTGGAGACCAGCCTGGGCAACATGATGAGACTGTCTCTACAAAAAATTTGGAAGTAGCTGGGTGTGGTGATGTACTCTGTAGCCACAGCTACTTGGGAGGCTGAGGCAGGAGGATCACTTGAGCCCAGGAGGTCAAGGCTGCAGGGAGCTATGAGGTCACCACTGCGCTCACCCTGGGCGGCAGAGCAAGACCGTGTCTCTAAGTAAACAAACAGAGTAGTGCGGAGGCCTGGGTGATGAAGGGAACTCGTGGGGAAAGCAGAGAATTCCCTGGACACACACAGGGACAGAGAGCCAGCCTGTGGCCAGGGAACTAGTGTGCTTCTCTACATAGAGGCTGCTAAACCAGGGACTCAGGGTCACCGAGGGGGCACAGGGTAGTCTCACCTGTAGAAGAGGAATAGTCTGGAGGGAAGCATCCTCAAGTTGGACCTCAGAATTGTCACAGATAACGGCTGACAACGGAACATTACCAAAGGTTCAGAGAAACACCGTGGTACTGATAAGAATCAGTAGAAACAACCAATCACAGATTTAGAGCCCCAAAGACTAGGAAACTGGAATTCTTTGACATAGAATATAAAATAAGTATACGTGAAATATGTTTAAGAAGCGGACAGTGTAATTCAAAAAGTAAGCAGGTACCAACAAACTGTAAAAAAATATCAGACAAATCTAAAACTATCAGATGTAACTTTAGATATGTTCACCTTTTTTTTGTTGTTTTGAGACAGAGTCTTGCTCAGTCATCCAGGATGGAGTGCAGAGGCGCCATCTCAGCTCACTGCAACCTCTACCTCCTGGGTTCAAACAATTCTTGTGCCTTCTGAGTCACTGGGATTACAGGCATGCACCACTATGACCAGCTTTTTTTTTTTTTTTTTTTTTTTTTCTTTTTTTTTTAAGACAGAGTCTTGCTCTTGTGGCCCAGGCTGGAGTGCAATGGTGTGATTTCAGCTCACTGCAACCTCTACCTCCTGGGTTCAAGCGATTCTCCTGCCTCAGCCTCCCGAGTCGCTGTGATTACGCCACCAAGCCTGACTAATTTTTGTGTTTTTAGTAGAGATGGGGTTTCACCATGTTGGCCAGGCTGGTCTCAAACTCCCGACCTCAAGTGATCTGCCCACTTCAGCCTCCCAAAGTGCTGGGATTACAGGCCCGAGCCAAGGTGCCTGGCCTGGATATGTTAACATAATAATTTAGGATAAAACGGATGAGTTAATCAGCAGATTAGACGGAGGAGACAGTGAGGGAGGTGAAAGAAAAAGGTGAGGGTGTGGAGAAGGAATTCCTGGCGAAACTGGAGGTCACGGTTGAGGGATTTCCGGAGCAGAGGAACGCTGTGGACCAGTGGCTTACACGGGGCCGGGCGGGTGACAGCAGGCACTCCTAGGAGCACCGCAGAGGCTACCGGACAGTCCACTCTTCCTGGACAGTCCACTTGTCAGCAGTGGACTGATGCTGGTGCCTGTCTGAATGCAAGCCTGGCCGCAGGCTGGGCCCTGCTGGAACCCTGGGCTTGGCCGAGCCCGGCGCTCTCCGCAGGGAGCCCCACAGCCCTGGACGCTGGAGGCCGGGGCCCGGGCAGGTGCGGGACGCCTTGCCGCTCCCCTGCAGCGCCGCCAGCCGGGCTGGGCCCTGCCGCCCTTGTCCTCCCCTCCCCTCCGCGGCGGGGCGGGGCTGCACGCGGGGGAGGCCGGGGTCGCAGCCGGGGTTCTTCGGGCCCTGCGGGGGGGACAGGAGCGGGCACCACCCTCAGTCTCCCGGGCCGGGCCACGCGGTGGAGGCCTCCCGGGGTTTCGAAGCGGCCCCGGGTCAAACCCAGGCGCAGAGTTGCCCCTCCCCGTCGGGGCGCCCCAGGGAGCGGCGGGGTCCGGGGGTCGGAGCGGGCGGAGGCAGCAGCGGGCGGAGGCGCCGGGCCAGGCGGGCGCGGACGGCCGAGGCGAGCACCAGCAGCGGCGGCAGCGAGAGGAGCCCGAACACGATCAGCGCCGCGGAGCCGCGGTCCGAGAATAGCGCGCGGCACCGGGGACCGGGAGCCGGGTGGACCTGGGGGCCCAGCGGGCAGTCAGTGGGGGGCGGGGCGGGGCGGGGCGGGGAGGTGGAGGGAAGGAGGAGGGGACGGGGCGGAGCTAGGAGGGGGCGGGGCTAGGGGGCGGGGCGGGGAGGTGGAGGGAGGGAGGGAGGGGAGGGGGCGGTGAGAGGGAGGGGGCGGGGCTAGGAGGGAGGGGGAGGTGGAGGGAGGGGGCGGGGCGGGGAGGTGGAGGGAGGGAGGAGGGGGCGGGGCGGGGCTAGGAGGGCGGGGCGGGGAGGTGGAGGGAGAGGGGGCGGGGCGGGGCTAGGAGGGCGGGGCGGGGAGGTGGAGGGAGAGGGGGCGGGGCGGGGCTAGGAGGGGGCGGGGCTAGGGGCGGGGCGGGGCGGTGGAGGGAGGGAGGGAGGGGAGGGGGCGGGGCTAGGAGGGAGGGGAGGTGGAGGGAGGGGGCGGGGCGGGGAGGTGGAGGGAGGAGGGGCGGGGCGGAGCTAGGAGGGGGCGGGGCGAGAGGGAGGGCGGGGCGGGGAGGTGGAGGGAGGGGGGCGGGGCGGGGCCAGGAGGGCGGGGCGGGGCGGTGGAGGGAGGAGGGGCGGGGCGGAGCTAGGAGGGGGCGGGGCGAGAGGGAGTGGCGGGGCTGGGCTACGAGGGCGGGGCGGGGAGGTGGAGGGAGGGAGGAGGGGACGGGGTGGGCCTAGAAGGGGCGGGGAGGGAGGGGGCGGGCCGGGGCTAGGAGGGAGGCAGGTGGGGCGGGGAGGTGGAGAGAGCGAGCGGGGAGGGGGAGGGAGGAGGGGGCGGGGCGGGGTTAGAAGGGGGCGGGGCGAGGAGTGGCGGGGCGGGGCGGTGGAGGGAGGGGGAGGGGGCGGGGCGGGATAAAGGGAGGGCGGTGCTAGGAGGGCGGGGCGATGATGGGCGGGAGGGAGGGGAGGGGAGGGGAGAGGCAGCGAGTGGGGAAAGGATGAAGTAGCCGTGCAAAGGGAGATGGTGGGGTGCAGGGCGGGAGATCGCGGAGTGGGCGGTAGAGGGGCCAGGGTGGGGCTGAGTAGGGCGGGGAGAGAAGAGGGAGATGGAGGGGATGAAGGATTTGGGCCAGGGCGATGGAGGGGCAGGGCCCGGAGAGGGTGGACCAGGCAGTGCTGACGGGTGGACGGGAGATCTGGGACCCAGAGGGTAAAGGCCGAGCAGGGTCCCTTGAGGGGCTGCTCAGAGACAGTGTCCACTGGCCCTTCATGCCCGCTTCTGCTCTCCTGAGTTCTGCGGGCACCAGCTGGCGCCAGCCCCCATGACAGCAGAAAGGGGCCTGGGGCCATCTGCCTAAGTCCCTGGCCCACCCCAGGCCACAGCCCACTCTGCAAGTGAAGCCCAGCGCCGGCAGCAGGGCCTGGGAGGGGCCGTGTGTGTTTGGGGAGGGGCTGGGGCCATGGGTTCGTGAAGTTTGACAACATTTTCATCTTCCTTTCCTGGAACCCCCTCCTCTCCCCACCCCCACCCAGCTGTCCAGGCCCTGGTGGCCCCTGGTACAAGGCTGGGAGGTCTCGGGGAGGGGACAGGGCTGTCCCTTGGCTGAAAAACAAAAGCCCTTCTCTGGCTGTGGCTGGCGGGGGTGCTTGGGAGAAGGGGCTGCCAGGGAGAGGCACACGTGTCTCTGAGGACAGGGGCGATGCTGGAAGGGGCACAGTGGCCTTCAGCCCCAGGGATGCCCAGGACCCCAGCAAATCCCCCACCCCTGGTGTGCAGGCTCACCCTCGAGTGGCACAGGAATCCCAGGTAGACGACCGCCGCGGCGGGCAGGAGCACCAGCAGGAAGGCTGTGGCAGGCAGCAGCAGGTGCAGCAGGAGACTGGCCAGCAGCCGGCCCGGCAGCAGCAGGGGCCCGAGGCCTCGGGCAGCCAGGCCCAGCCACCCTGGGCATGTCAGGGCTGAAGCCTGGTGGTCGGGAGGTCTCCGGGGCAGCATGGGCGCTGTGTCCGAAGCCCCGCCTCCCTCGTCCTCCTCCGTCTCTGTCTCCCTGCCCTGCTCACTCATGCTCCTGCTGCTGCAGGCCTGTGGGGAGTCCTCGGTGCTCAGGCGCTGAGCGAAGCTCCTCAGGGCCACCCTACAAAACCTTTAACCCCACCCGCGGCTGCAGCCCTTCCTCAGGCCCCAGCCAGACCGTGCACCCTGGCTACAGAGGTCCCGCCTGATGTCTGCCCCAGAGCCACACCCCCACCTGCTTCCCCTCTGCCTGCTTCCCCTCTGTTACAACTGCAACTCCAGTCAGCCACGCTCCAGTCTCCAGCCCCTGCCAGCTCCTGGTGCTCTGGGCAGGCCTTGCGGGGCCCTCCCCACTGGGGCCACCTCCCTCCTTGTCCCGCCCTCCCCCTCTGCATCTCCCCAACACAAAGACTTCATTTCAAAGGCCTTGACTCTGACAGCTGCCCTGGCAGTAGCTGCCACCTGGAGGCCGGGCCCCCACCCCACTTCCCAGCCCCAGCACCACTGCTCCCCTCATCCAAACACCTCGCCTGTCCTCCACTGCGTGTGGATGAAAGGGCCCCTTAGGACACTTGTGAGCCACAGGGTGTGGCGCCGGCACACGAAGGCACTGGGTAGACAGCGGGGCACCTCGGGCAACCTTGCCTCTGAACCCAGCCACCCCCAGCAGAGGAAAGGCGGATTTTCCCAGAGGAGAGCCTGTGTTCCATCATTTCCAGTCAGGGACAAAACTTTTCCCAGGCACCCAAAACCCCAACCAATCTCCCCGAACGTGACTCCCGATTCTGACATTTATTTATTTATTTGTTTTGAGACAGAGTCTCCCTCTGTCACCCAGGCTGGAGTGCAATGGCGCGATCTCGGCTCACTGCAACCTCCACCTCCTGGGTTCAAACGATTCTCCTGCCTCAGCCTCCTGAGTAGCTGGGATTACAGGCACATGCCACCGCGCCCAGCTAATTTTTGTATTTTTAGTAGAGATGGCGTTTCAACATTTTGGCCAGGCTGGTCTCGAACTCCTGACCTCGTGATCCACCCGCCTCGGCCTCCCAAAGTGCTGGGATTACAGGCTTGAGCCACCGCGCCCGGCCTATTTATTTATTTTTTAAAGATGGGGTTTCACCATGTTGGTCAGGCTGGTCTTGAACTCCCAACCTCAGGTGATCCGCCCACCTTGGCCTCCAAAGAGCTTGGATCACAGGCCTGAGCCACCATGCCCAGCCTCTTTTCTTTTCTTTCTTTTTTTAAGATGGAGTTTTTTTGTTTTTTTTGTTTTTTTTTGTTTTTTGAAAGAAAAAAAGAATAATAAAAAGAATAAAGAAGAGGAAGAAAGAGAAAGAGGAAGAGGGAGAGAGAATGGGGGTATTGCTTTATTGCCCGGGCTAGAATGCAGTCTAAATATGGGTATGCCTATAATTGTCCTTAATAATGGAGACATAAAATAAAATGAGGGAAGAGAATAACAAACAAGGAGCCAACCAACATTTCGTTTAAATTTCTAAGTTGATATGATGTGGTACTGATAAGAGTGTATATTTTGTATATTTAAAGTGGAGAGTTCTATAAATGTTAATTATGTTTACTTGTTCCAGATCTGAGTTCAAGTCCTGGATATCGTTGTTAATTTTCTGTCTCATTGATCTGTCTAATATTAATGTTGAAGTCTCTGACTATTATTGTGTGGGAGTCTAAGTCTCTTTATTAGTCTTATATGTCTGGGTATTCCTGTACTGGGTGCTGTTTTTTGTTTTTTTAATAAGATGGAGTTTCACCATGATGGCCAGGCTGGTCTTGAACTCCTGACCTCAGGTGATCCACCCACCTCAGCCTCCCAAAGTGCTAGGATTACAGGCGTGAGCCACCGAGCCTGGCCTTAAGACAGAGTTTCACTCTTTTGCCCAGGCTGGATTGCAATGGCGCTATCTTAGCTCACTGCAACCTCTGCCTCCCAGGTTCAAGCAATTCTCCTGCCTCGGCCTCCCAAGTAGTTGGGACTACAGGTACGCACCACCACACCCGGCTAATTTTTTTTTTTTTTTTTTTAGTAGAATCGGGGTTTCATGATGTTAGCCAGGCTGGTCTTGAGCTCCTGATGTCAGATGATCTGCCCGCCTCAGCCTCCCAAAGTGCTGGGATTACAGGTGGCCTGAGCACCCGGCCCAAACTCCATTTTCATCATAAATTGACACTTAGGAGTAGGGTGTCTGTGAGCTGAGCTGTTCCCTGTGACGACTTCTCCTGGTGGGCTCCATCCCTTCCAACACTTTCCAGGCCTCTCCAGCTCACCTGCTTCCTTCGGACATGTGAACAGGTCAGACGGTGGCAGCACGTGGCATGTGATGCCCGGCAGGGCAGCTGAGGCCTCCCTGCAGCGTCGGCCAGGCCCTGTTGCCCGAGGCACAGCTTCACTGTTTCCACTGATGCCCACGCGCCAAGGTCTTTGGTGCTGTGTGTTCATTCTGATAGTGATTTGGGGTGGAAAAAAAAAAGGTTGCAGCCAGGCACGGTGGCTCACACCTGTAATCCCAACACGCTGGGAGGCCAAAGAGTGTGGATCACCTGAGAGCAATAGTTTGAGACCAATTTGACCAATAAGGTGAAACCTCATCTCTACTTAAAAAACAAAAATTAGCCGGGCACGGTGGCTCACACCTATAATCCCAGCACTTTGGGAGGCCAAGGCGGGTGGATCACGAGGTCAAGAGATCGAGACCATCTTGGTCAACAAGGTGAAACCCCGTCTCTACTAAAAATACAAAAATTAGCTGGGCATGGTGGTGCACGCCTGTAGTCCCAGCTACTCGGGAGGCTGAGGCAGGAGAATTGCCTGAACCCAGGAGGCGGAGGTTGCGGTGAGCCGAGATCACGCCATTGCACTCCAGCCTGGGTAACGAGAGCAAAAACTCCATCTCAAAAAAAAAAAAAAAAAAAAAAAAGCCGGGCACGGTGGCTCAATCCCAGCACTTTGGGAGGCCGAGGTGGGTGGATCACAAGGTCGAGAAATCGAGACCATCCTGATCAACATGGTGAAACCCCGTCTCTACTAAAGATACAAAAAAGTAGCTGGGCATGGTGGCACGTGCCTGTCATCCCAGCTACTCAGGAGGCTGAGGCAGGAGAATTGCTTGAACCCAGGAGGCGGAGGTTGCGGTGAGCCGAGATCACACCATTGCACTCCAGCCTGGGTAACAAGAGTGAAACTCCGCCTCAAAAAAATAAAAAATAAAAAATAAAAAAAATAAATAAAAATAAAAATTAGCTGGGCTCGGTGGCTCACGCCTGTAATCCCAACACTTTGGGAGGCTGAGGCAGGTGGATCACTAGGTCAGGAGATCGAGACCATCCTGGTCCACATGGTGAAACCCTGTCTCTACTAAAATACAAAATACAAAAAATCAGCTGGGCATGGTGGCGCGTGCCTGTAATCCCAGCTACTCAGGAGGCTGAGGCAGGAGAATTGCCTGAACCCAGGAGGCGGAGGTTGCGGTGAGCTGAGATCGTGCCATTGCACTCCAGCCCGAGTAACAAGAGCGAAACTCCGTCTCAAAAAATAAATAAGTAAATTAAAATTGAAATTAAAATTAAAAAAATTAGCCAAGTGTGGTAGAATGCACCTGTAGTCCCAGCTACTTGGGAGGCTGAGACAGAGAATTGCTTGAACCCGGGAGGCAGAGATTGTAGTGAGCTGAGATCGCACCACTGCATTTCAGCCTGGGCGACAGAGCAAGGACACCATCTCAAAAATACAAATAAAAGTTTTAAAAAGTTGCAAAGCCTTGCTTTCTAAGTCTCCTCACCCAGGTTCCTCGCTTCTTCATTCAACAAACACTGCTGAACTGCTACTGAGTCCCAGGGACTGCTACCAGAAAGGGGTCCAGATCCAGACCCCAAGAGAGGGTTCTTGGACCCCACACAAGAAAGAATCTGGGCAAGTCCAGTGAGCAAAGGGAAAGCAAATTTAATAGGGAAATAAAGGAATAGAAGGGCTGCCCCAGAGCAGAGCAGCGGCCGGCTGCTCCCCGAGTCCCCTCACTGTTGCTTCTTGATCCTGTGCCCAACACGTGTGGCTCATTCCTGAGTTTTCCGGGAAAGGGGCCGGCGGTCTTGGCGGGTTAGGGCAGGCTTGTTTGCGGCATCCTGTTTTATTAGTGGGGTCTTTGTGGCCTGTATCTTGTGTTGATCTCGTCTTGTGACTAAGATGCCTGACCTCCTGGGAATGCAACCCAGCAGGTCTCAGCCTCGTTTTACCCAGCCCCTGCTCAAGATGGAGTTGCTCTGGTTTGAAAGCCTCTGCAGAACACTCCAGGTTCTTTAGATTCCACGGGAAACAGGCTGCGGCCTCGGCCCTCCGTGCCCCGCTGTGTGCGGATCCTACAAGCATGGCAGAGGCAGCTGTGGCTGCCCCTGCTGCAGTGGGACCCAGGGGAGACGGGATTCTTGGGAGGAGCCTGCTGGGTTTCTGTACCTCTGGGAAGCTGACGTGAGGCAGTTTCTGTGGCCTCCCTGGCCCTGATAAGTATGAGACTTGCCACCGGCCCCCAGAGCTCCTCACTTCTTTCCTGGTGCCTGGGCCAGGCTGAGGCCACCTGACGCTGTTTACCCAGCCACTTAGGAAAGCCCTGCCTTCTGCCTTCGGACCAGAGCCTGCCCAGCATGCTTGGGAGCCTCACAGAGCTTTCCTTCTAGAAAAGGAAGGCAGACATTTCAATAAAATAAACACATGGATAGTTCCCCGTAGTGATAATTGCTAAGAACAAACTAAAACAGGGTCAGAGGCGCACGTTGCTTCAGGTCCATTGGTGGTCAGCTCTGGGAAGGTGACGGATGAGTAACCTGATGAGATTTTCAGGGCAGGGTCTGTGTGGCTGGGGTGGTGGGGTGGGACCCCTGGTCCCTTGCTCGGGGACCCTTTGGGCCCTTGGAGAGGTGGCCTTCTAGGGGGTGTGGGAGGCCAGGCCAAGGCCCTCAGGAGACCCTGTCCTTGAGGACCTGGGAGGCTGAAGGGGGCTGGGGTGGGAATGGGCAGGCCCTCCCGTGTCCTGGGCAGTTGCTGGAGAGCCGGGCTGCTACAGCAGCTCCACAGGCATGCTTCCTTCTCCTACCTGGCCCCAGGTACTTGGCGATGGGAAGATGCCTTCAGGACCAGCCCCACCCACCCTGCCCCAGGCCCCCAGAATCCCGCTGACCCAGGCCTTGCTCTGGCAGAGCGGCTTTTCTAGATGTAGACACACTGTAAGTGCGATTCTCCCCACACTCCCTCCTGGCTTGCCCCGCCCCCGCCCAGACGTTTGTCCCTTCCCTGGCTCCAGACTTGC